ACAAGCTGAGCTATCGATATGATACAGGAAGTGACAACGTGCAAATGTTACATGCAAAAGGTTGTTTAGCTACATACATTTTAAAGAAAATATTAGAATGCGTTACCTTTAAGAGATAGGCGTGGTTTTCGGCCTTTTGTGGAGTACAGAGTGATACGTAGTTCTCTTGAGCACCTTTGAAATTTAGTTTTATTTGCATCGCATTTGTATATGGATAAACAATCTCCTTTGGTTAGAAAGAAATAAGGTATATTTACACTGCGGTAAAATTGGTAGAGCTACCTTTACAATAAGAGGAAATTATTTTGGCTTGAAATAACAAACATCACAGCCCACCCAATTACGGTTTTTAAATAAGTTTACTTTCAAAACATTAAGTGAGAACAGAAATGTTGATCAGTGCCATGACAAACAACTTTTCCATTCATGTTCTTCGGGTTGTAAATTTCGGCCGTAAAAAATACTGTATTGTAATAAATAAACAGTTGAGGAAGCTCACATTCCAAAGCGCTCAATTGCGACATAATTACGCTTACTTTTCAAAGTATGCTGTGACACCAAAAGTATTTGCCTTAGTGGTCCAGCTCCACTGGCGTAAATCGCGAAATATTTCGCGGTCAGTTGCTGAAAAGGGTCTGACTGAAGTCCCGAATGGATGTCATAAAACTTTTGGCAGAGAGGAGAAATGTGAGTCACTGAAATCCCTCAGACCTGATGACGGAGTTTTGCGGTCAGTGAAAAGGGCTGCACGAATAAAAATTGGCGTACGAACACCTCAACATTTACATTACACTTTACCTAACTCTAATAATGGGTCAAATGGGAAAACAAGAAATGTATGCACGAGTTACAATGCGTAAATCATGCTGAAATTACAACCTTCCATATTTCCTGTGGGATTATCGTAAAAGGTCACGACTCCAAGACACTGAATCTGGCTAGACTCATTATGCATATTTTACCCATTAGTAATAGCAGATTGATCGTAAATTGGCTTTAACATCTGATTTTTGTATATGTCATCAATATACAATATGTCCCAATTCATCACAGATTCAAGCATTTCCACTTCATACCAGCCATGGAGGTAGGAAAAGCAGCCAGGATAAATCAATGTTTTCAAGGACACCCCCTTTTACTTGGACTCTTAACAGCTAGTCCTCGATCCCTCAATTTTATTATTTCAATGTTATTTTCCTTCGTAAACCCTGCATGTGGACATCGTGGGTTAAGGTTAAAGGCGAAAGACAAGACGGAGTCATCGAGAATCTTGAATTCAAACCAACAGTTTATGCCTTGGTATTCTTCCACTTCAAGTTACATGCCAGGCTGCAACCCTGTCTGGAAAATTGTACGCAAGCTTTCCCAAGTTGGAAGGAGTCTCGTCCAACATCGCTCCAAGCTTCAAACGGTGGAGCGTGAGTCATCTTTGTGTTACATTTCTGTCCCGAAATGGCAGCAGCGGTCGGGCTGGAGAAGGTTCTATAAATCCGAACCATCGACTGCTGTCCTACACACTACGGGTGGGCAAAAATCGTCTGTCGCCACAGGCAAGCCGTTCCTGAACCACACCGAAAAGAGGACCTACCCTGGCCATGTTTCTCAGCCAGGGTCCGTCGGCAGATCGGGTGCACCGTCCCGTCGAGCAGGGATCAGACTGTGCAACTGGTAAATAACGCAGTCTGGTAAATTGAAAGTTGAGACGAAAGTGGCTTCTACGGCCGTGCCGTTTAGAGGGAAACTGACGCACATCGCGGTGGACTAAAATATGGTAACACGACCGTCAAAATGTTTTGTAGCAAAACATCTTCGTAACCTGATCACCAAAATTGAAAGGGTGGCTTAAATTAATAGATTCCTACTAGCCTAAATGAGCTAAGTATACGGGATACAAGACCAAGACAGAAAGACAACAGTCATTTCCACTTATGCTCACATTTCATAAATACCGGCGCAACAACTCTTTAATCTGAACATTTTCATAGCTCAACTTGGTTGATAAGGTCAAAATCGCCCATTCAATGTTCCTTTCCTTCTACATGACTTGCTTGGGAAAACAGAAATGCACTTTTTATGTTTCCCCTGAATGGTTCAAGGCCTCACGAGCATTCTCTGGAAAATCACTTCTCTGGAAACAAGCCAGCCGGTCGGGATTTCCAGTGTTGCCTGGCAACGCTCTATAAAACCAAAGAGAGTCACACAACTTGGGAACAATGTTATGTAATCGGCAAACAAGAGTCACATCATCAAATCCAGGAAACGATAAACAGATGGGCTTGGCATTTATTTGTTAAAATTGTTTAAATGTTCTTGAATAAAGGGTCATATGTTGAATATTCAAGTTATTTCTCGCATTTTAGTTTTTTCTCTTATCTATCGGTAATATTATGTTCAAACAAAAATTCCACGGTTTATGGCTCAATAATTTCGATAGTTTACACACTAATGCGCTAGGAAACAGTCTAAGTGAGTTATAATGTCGAAAACATGCTTTGGAAATATTCAATGTGATTCAAACTGCTCTTTATTGCTAACCGGAATAGATTAAGTATAATCTGTTTTCCTGTCAAAAAGCGATTGTTTAGAAGTAGGAAAAAATAATTATGTTCCCGACTTCCCACATTTTTCTTTGAAATTTGAAAAAAAAACCAGAAATAAAATCTACCATTTGTTTCAAAAGCATTTCATCTCTTTCTACTTCAAACGTCTGAATTTATATCAACTCGGCCGCAGGGAAATGAGTCAGACTTGAATCAAGCCTACACAACCCTTACCCCTGCGCTTGGCCCCCCTTATGGTAGCAGACTTGTAAATAAGTTGCCACAGACAACAGTGATAAATATCCCCACTTCAAAAAAATCAGGAACAATACAAGTTTCAAAGGTATTTAAGACACATATCAAATTAAAGCTCACTTCCTGATCTTTCCTTTTCCTTTCAATTTTCAGTGGCTTAACCGATGACTTTTGAAAATATTTCTCTCCAGAAAGAAAAATCACCCCTAAAAACAGTCAAGAGGCCCATCACCATTTTGGAAATTGATGCCTACACTCCATGGCAGAATAGAGCCATTTGGAGGGCCCCGTTTGGTCCAATATTTTCAGAAATACAAGTTGACAGTCCTGCGCCTGTATTTCATCCACTTTTTTAACAAACCACCCAGTCTGCGTGCCACGAAAGGCTCTAATAGCAGAGAATTTCACAGCCTACAAATCGTGATTCGATCCGCGCAGGCAATTTTGGACCAATTTCCTGGCCTGCAACCTTATGCATCGACTATAAAAGCGACTTCATTTTATTGGGATTGGTTGTCTCTGAAAGGGTAAAAACTAATAGGTCCGAGCATATTTCTTGAGATTTTCCAGAGAATATTTGAAGTGACTCACTCATTCACGACGATTGAATTTACAAAGTTTTGACACTGTGCGGACTTTTTTTTTTTTTACAAAACTTGTTGGACCGTTCCTAACGTTTGTTTGAGTCCTCGACGGATGCAAGAAACATTTTAAACCAGCAACGAAGAAGGTAAGAAATTGAAGACTTTACCAACTCCTTTCCCAAATAACTGAAAATTCAGTCCACACTGGACTTCCGTACCGGAAATCGATGTTACAATATACATGCGGTTGCTGATAAACGAAGGTTACTGTTTTAGAAAGAATGTGACATCACGACGCGCAGAATAGAGAATATTCAACATACTAATCTTTGTGTATCGACACCACAGACACGTTTCCCACAAAGTTTATTGGCAATCACAGATATATATTCATAAACTGCCAACACAGAGACGATCCTGGTACGGCAGCGCAGTGCTTGTTTTACAAAGCGGATGTACATGTTTTACTAGAGAGAGATCTTCTTACAGATACACTCGCAACCGCTGAGAAATTTTGATTTCAGGGGTCTGATGGGCGATCCTGCATTATCAAATGTCTTGGCCATTGTGCATGTTGTACAAGGGCAACGTTATGTCGATTTTAAATCTGGTTGACCGCAACTTCGACCGCAAACAGTTCAGATCGGATCTGTTCCTCTCAACCCAATCCTGAATGATGTCATTGTTAGCATTGTCAGTCCCTTGTTAATTGAATTTTTTTTGCAGGATGGACTTTTAAGGACTTTGTTTTGTCTGCTAAAGGAAACTTTCTTCCGTTGCAGGGGCTGGGAACTGATTAGGAGAGGCAAGGTTATGGTGCCTTGCATGGTAACCGAAAACTCTGTGAAATCATTTTCCATCTAAAGTCACACGGATACGAAATTAAAACAAATTAAAAAAATAACAAAAAGCGACCGAAGGATATTGTAAAATATTAGACTTTGCTGATGCAATAGTACAATATTATATCAATCATTCCGCTATTGCGCTAAGTTCCCAAATTCTAATTTGGCGTTTCGTTTGGAAAAAAATTAACAAAGCTTCGCATAGCCAGAAAAATAAGAAAGAGAAAAGAAAAAGGGAGTCCACGTTTTTAATGGACTGAAAGTTAATCCGAATTTCGATTGAAATTTAAAAGAAGTAAAGCGTGAAACAGAATAAGTCCCAGTGGAAACTCAGTGAAATCTCGTTCTATTCGATTGATTGAATTTCACTGGAATTCGTCCGGTCATTGGTTTCATTGAGTACACTGTCCCTGGAAAGGACTGAATTGCAACATTTGGAATTTAGAGAGTTGGATTCCTGAAAAATGAAGCCCAAATTTTAAAAAAAGGATGTCACGAACCTGAATTGAATTTGAAAGGTCAAAAAGGACCGTTTACCAAATCTTCCAAAAGTTCAATATTTAAACAGATGTAGCTGGCTGCTTAGCCGCTATAAAGACATTTTTGGAGGTTTATAAGTTCATTTCTCTTTACACAAAAAAGACAAATACGTAGGCCGTTTTCACAAGTTAAGTTGTAGGTGTTCGGTTATTTGCATAGTGATTAACTTCGTGAGTGTTGACTCAGAAAGCTAATGTTGTTTATTACTGAAATGCAAAGAAGTGTTCTCAGACGCTGGTGTGCGTGGGGGTGATTGATTATTGTTCCATTGTCGATACTATCAAGCATCGATGGCTACGTGGGTTGCACCTGAGAACGGATACAGTATTATAAGGCAACTTTCCATCTTCAACGTTTGTTGTTGGGCCAATCCTTTTGTCACCGTCGACAGCACGCCAGGTTGGCGTGGCCTTCAAAGCTAGCCCCGGTGCCACTATACAACTGTACAACATGCACAGATCACCGCAGCACAACCACTGCATGTGATGAATGAGTGACTGCAGAATTCCGGTCGCATGCGTCATCGTTCGACAGCGAGGGTTTCGTGGCTATATAAAACGTACACACTGACTATCCCCACACAAAACTGCCTGTGTCAACGGACCTAAGCACTTAGGCAAACTACAGAAATATCAGCTTCATTAGCTCAGAAACTAGTAATTTTACCCTTGTCGTCAAGTGCCTTTTTCCTGCATAGACGGTGTAGGGCCGACCGGTTCAAGATGTCGAGAGGTATCAACGAGAACCTATGGCGGGCGGTCTGGGTCGTGTTTTGTGCAGCTCTCGTTACAAGCTTCCCCACGATCTCTGACGACCCCGAAGTTGCCGAGGCGACATTTGTAAGTTCGAGTCTTGGGTCTTCTCCATGTTTTTTTTCAAAGTTTCAAACGCTAAAGAAGTATTCCAAATTACCGATTGCATTTCTCTGTTGGAGACGCCATCCTCTGATCTTGGTGAAATGTTAAGCAAAAGACAAAAACTTACAATAATGTGAATTTCTTCTCATTGAAAGTTTTTTCAACCTCTTGAGACGAGGCACCGCTGGTAACTTTTTGGAACACAGCTGCTGTGTTGCGGGGACTGTCCTAGACAGTCTTCTCTGTGGGGGATCATGTGGAAACTTGTGACAACTGTGTCTCTGCTGCAAATCCATTACTAGTTGTTACCGGTTCATCTGGTTTTAAAGGGCTCGTGTAATGCAACTGGTTGAGTGCAGTCCTGGCGGATGCACCTTTTTCTGTCATTTAAACTTGATTGTTGTGCTTTTAAAAAAACTTTTTATGCTTATGTGAATTTGAATTTTAGGCATTTGAGCGATAGTGTGATGTCACATCTGCATTACTAAGAACTGCCAGATTTTGGATATAATTTACTTGTCTCGACTTTTCTTATCTATGATGATTAGTTGTGTCACATGACTAGGCCAGTGAGCAAGTTTTTCCCAAAATTATTTTTGATGCATGACCAAATTTACGTTCACAATTCGAAAGAAAAATCACGTTTTGAATGTCTTCCTGAAATGACATCAGAACAACTGCGCCCTCACTTGTCAGGAAGCGATCGGATAATATAAATAGCGCAACAACAAAAAAAGAGAATATTTTCAAGGGTTTTCTCCAAGGTGTGCCTTATGCCGTTTCTGACAACCGACGGCGTTGCTGCTGCGAGGTCACTTTAAGCACAGGACCTATCGTCGCAGTGTATGAACTCGCTATAAATGTCTTGAGCGTATTTTTGGGTCAGTGACTGACACTGAGTCGACAGCGAACGAAACACTAGCCTGGGTGATGAAGACAAAAGAGTTAAACAAATGAAACATCGATGTACCTTTTTAATGATACAAGTCACAGGGTGTAATCTGACGTAATGTCGGTGATCTTTCCTGATGCCTGCTTGAGTGATCATTTTAGAGCTGTCGAAAATACCTTCTTGTAATATCGAACTTAGTTAACACATGCACCACATTTTTGCAGTGTGTTTTTCAAATGTGATGGAAAGAATAAGCCTTATCGCAAATAATGCATGGCTCCTTTTTCCGTCCCATAATGCCTTTCTACTATTGTGCAAAATCACCCAATGCAGTATTTGCGATAAGGCTTATGATTGATTAGTCTGTGTATGCGTCATTATGTCGCGGTCGGTAGTGACGCACGCATTCTATCACTGGGACCATAAAAGTGTTTGCCGCTGGGTATGAACTTCCCGGCACCTTCAAGCTTTGTGTACATTTCAAATCTGTTTCATCCGCTGTGACTTATCTCAGCATTTGTGCCCAGCCGAATCTGCGCCTTATTGAAGGATGAAAGCCATGATATTCGTGTGCGCGGTGCTTGTATAAATGAACAGCGGCGACAATGATATTTTGGTCTTAAAATCGTGTATTTTTAGAGCAGCCTTTTCCTGATTTTTAGAATGCAGAGTTCCAGTGATTTCAAACGCCACTTCCTGAACAGCTTGTATAATTTGAGGTCACCAGTATATAACTGGAATACGCGAGATGCACAAGCAACTGACCCTGGTCCTCTGTTATCCCGATTAATGGACCTGGTTGTCATGGATACTTGACATTATGGCCATCATTTGATTGAACATTGATCGACGATCTTCGATTTTGTTCTTTTAACGTTGTCTAAAATCCCTCGACAGCTTTTCTTTGTGAACTTGAACCAATCGGCTCGAACAATCGAAATTGCCCTCGAGATATCTTTGCCACTAATTTGAATTGCTCTTGAGACATCTTTTTGAGTGCTTACGCGCTTCTGTGTCTCAACTAAGTCGTCAACGCATGTGACCCTGGTCAGGCGTCTTGCGGAATTTCAATTTCTTTATTACAGGTGTTTGTGACTTAAACTTGGCCAGTTTCTTCTATGCACACACTGACTTCACCTCCCGGATGACATTATTCAACCGGTGACCCCGGCTGCGTGTTTCATGTTGCCACGACGACCAAGGGGGTTGCCGATGAGGTTTTTCCCCCCTCGGCCATTTCCTTTCCTAAATATACAATAATGGTCAGTATTTATAGCCTGTGAGTCACAAGCATTGTGTAAATGATGACTTCCTCTTGATGTGCTCCGAACGGAAGAAGGAAACGATGCACTTGTTCGATTATTTTGCACCATGTTTGTATGCATAGCGGCCTAAAAGGAATTCCCAAAATAAAAATCCATATTAATTGTGGTTGTGGTAGTGTTAATTAACGGTATCCAACAAACTAGCCTCCATTGAATCTTTGATCAATGTTATCGCATGAAATAAACCCAAATGGCCTGGTTCTGTACAGTGCGTAAATGAATGGGTAATCTGCACTGTGCATTTCTTTCATTTTTAAAAAATTGGTTCGAGTTCCCATAACTGCACGAAGGATTGAAATGTATTAATGCTTGATTTAACCAAACGACTTCAATCGATTTTATGGGCGGAGCAATAACATGATTCACTGTGCCTGCAGCCGATTGGCTCCCGCAATCGGCGGTCAGACCAAATACGCCACTCTATTTCACTCTTATTATCTCACAGCAAACGTGAACTATGACCGGACAATTTGTTCTTCAATTTTCCCGCCTCCTCCTTCCCCTGCTACACTCTATCCCCTCCCCTTTTTCGGTGTATCCACATTAGCTGGTCCTTTTTTTCTTTGGGCGGTTGGACCTGCGCTACCGGCATGTTTCCTTGGTTTAGCATGCACAAGAATTGTGTGAGCTTGTTAACTTCTTTGTTTAAAGTCATGTTGAATATTTCTAAAATCTCATTTGCATCACCTTTTTTGGCTTGATGGATAATCTATAATTTCTCCGTCTGATTCATTCCACAATCATACTTTTGATCACCCGGTGACTCTTTTTTCCCACAGAGACAAACTGTGTTCTTTTTCATTGTAGCTCTTTTCATTTCGGAGAAAGTTTCTAGTTATATTTTCCGAATAGTAATGTATATGTATTTCTCACGCCAGCTATCGCTCATAAATGCTCACTGAACTCTGCAAGTGACGACGTTTTACGCAGTTGGAATTAATTTGGTCACCACTTGTTTTGTTCACCTTGTCTGCTCTGGAAGTAACAACGAGCGACGATAAAACCGGCAAGGAGAAAGCAGGGCTAGCGTTCATTGAAGCTTCCTGCTACTGTTACCGCCCTGTATTTCTCTGTGGTTCTCCCATCTCGATTTATCTCTGTGTAGTTATGTCGCTGATGGAGGTAGCTTCATGAGTGTCAAAAGTCACAGCGGTCTCACACTTTCACTTCAAAAACTCATTTTGCCATGTTTGTTCAACGTTTCCACCATAGAGATACTTGACGTCCTACGGTTACATGAATCCCCCGGCGTCGGAAGAGGGCGACATTGCCACTATCACCGACGTCGAGTCTGCCATCCGCCGCGTCCAGTACTTTGCCAACCTGCCAGAGACAGGCACGGTGGACGCCGCCACGCTGGAGGTGATGAAGGGGCCGCGTTGCGGCGTGCCGGACCCAGTGGGCCGTAGCGTGAACGGCACGGTGCTTGGCGGGAGGCTCAGACGGTACGCTCACACTGGGGGAAAGTGGAACAAAAGAGATCTGACCTACAGGTAAGACTGAATTCTTGCAGCAACATTGCAGCAAGGTGTCTTGTTCAGAGACACAGGCACCACAACCGACTACGATGTAGATTGTATTGGCACTCTTATGTTTAAACAGGCGTTGCAGATGATAGCATAATCGTGTTCGGAAGTGGCATCACATAACTAGACAAATTAGAGCAAAGTTTCTTATTTAGAGACACAAGCAGGCCAATCACTCATGCATCTCTTTTCTGCCCTTCAGAATCCTCAACAGCCCTCCGGAGCTGTCTTACAGTCAGGTGGTGGAGACGATCCGGGAGGCCTTCAAGCTGTGGAGCGACATCACCCCGCTGAGCTTTTACGAAGTGACGGGGGCGAACTACGCCGATATATATCTGCGCTTCGCCCCCTACAACCACGGCGATCAGTTCCCCTTTGACGGGCCCGGGGGCACCCTGGCCCATGCCTACCCGCCGCTCAGCGGCTTTGGAGACCTGGACGGTGACGTGCATTTTGACGACTCTGAAACGTTTACCATCGGCACGTACGACGGTAAGAAATTGTTTCCCTCAAATTGGCCATTTTCACGTTCGAGTGCACCATGTTGGGAGATTGCACGGTTGTGCCATTGCTCAGCATGTGAGTTGTGAGGACAGATTAATTGAAAATTGATCAAACGGCAGGCTTTTCATCTGGCTGATTAACTGATTGACTTACTGAAAGTGGTTACCCGGCTGTTCGCATGGATTGATAGACAAGGTAACTTAATGACTGATACAAGTGAATGACTGTCTGCTCGAGTGGTAACTTGTCAAACCAGCCAGTTTGCCGATTGACTGATCAATTGACTGACTGGTTGTTTATCATCCCAGGCGTGAATCTTCTCCAAGTCGCAGCACACGAGATAGGCCACAGCCTGGGCTTGTCGCACTCGTCCGTGCAGGGCGCCCTCATGCAGCCCTTCTTCCCCGGTTACGACCCCAACTTTAAGCTGCACTATGACGACATCCTGGGCATTCAGACGATCTACGGTGAGGAAAAATGTCTGGAAATTGCTATATGACATGCCTGTCCAGAGCTGTTGAACAGAGCTTATTTTTTATACGCAGCTAAGTTCATTGCCAAACATGGCTGCAGCTGACGAACATGTGACTCCCATATAGAAAACGGTTTGAAGGATCATGATAGTTCAACTTTTCAGCGATTTGGCAAGGTTGATAACTTGTAGCCTGTTCATCTTGGCCCACAGTTAATTAACTTTTCAGCCCACATCTGGCGTATAGTTGTATGCAAACTGTTCCATCGGAGGGTTTTGCTTTGTATTTTATCACGCAGTTCTGAAGATTTCTTCTCATTTATCAAAGTCCTTTCGTCACAGACATGGATGTATTCTCATCATTGTTCTTTACACGAACAGGATCAGGAGGTCCTCAGCCTGGACCGAACCCGGACCCGACCTACCGGCCGGTACCCGATCCCACCGAGGTCCCAGTCACCGTGCCCAAGCCCGACAGGGACACCTGCAACAAGGCCTTCACGACTATGACACTCATCAGGGGAGAGATCTTCGGTTTCAGGGTGAGAAGGGGCACTGATTTTGAATGGGTTCGATTCTGGTCAGCTGTGCTCTTGTAGGTTTTCTTCCCTGAACTGAATTTAATCGATTCCATGACTCCCGTTCAACAGGGCGCTCGATACTGGCGAATCGCCCGTGAAGGCCAGCTCATCTCCAGTCCCGAGGGGGACAAGAACAAGTATTTCTGGGTCGGTCTCCCGCCCAGGATCGACGCCGGCTACGAGAGATGGCACGACCAGAAAACGCTGTTTTTCAAAGGTAAGTTCCCCTTGGCAAATTCCCCCACAAACGACTCTGTAATCGACAGTAAAAATCTGTGAAAAAAACTGTGAAGTCTTATTGTTACTAAACCCGTTATACAATCAGCAGAGTAGTTTCAAACAGAATGGCTGTCACCGTCTATGTGAATGTTCTGACGCAGGAAACCAGCACTGGCTGTTTGACGGTATCACATTACAAGACGGCTACCCGCGCCTCATCAGTGACCTCTCACGCGACCTTCCAGTCGACATTGACGCGGCCATGACGTGGAAGGAATATAGCAAAACTTACTTTTTCAAGGTCTGTACTTTTCTTGGCCTAAAAATTTGTCCATTTTCATGCACTTTCACCTTATTGTCTGCCATATCAGTAGCGATAGAATAGACCGTATTTGCGGCGTCCCCAATTTCAGTCATATTTCCGCTACGTAGTGTATAAATTCAAAGAACCAGACTATATTCTACGATTTCATTCTGAGTCCCAAAATCACCTGGTACCATCCTATTACGGGTTTAAAATTTACACTGTACGTTCAGGAATACGACTGAAATTGGGGACGCCGAGAATATGGTCTATTACACAAGATGGCGCTTTCCCTGGTAGCTCTCACTGATTCTTGAATGATGGACTCAACACTGCGCGCTAGCCAGTGAAATAAAGCCTTTAGCGACGCAACGTTTTGTAGCGCTTGCATTGTTCATTCTCTATTCATTAACTGGTTTCCATTGAAGGAGCTGTTGACTGCTAATCGTTAGAATGTTTACCTTGGTCGTCAGTGAGTCATTCTGATTAACAGACTAGCAAGTAAAAGGCAGAAGAAAATAGATTACCTCGTTGCTGTTTCAGTGCTCCTGTTGTTCCCTTTGCATCCCATGTCTCATTCGGTTGCATGTTTGATTTTTGTCGACCTATCCTGAATGGCGAACACTGAATCTTATACTGCAGGGCGACATGGTGTGGAGGTTTGACGAAGCCACGCAGACGGTAGACCCTAACTGGCCGTATCGTATCAAAGATATCTTCCCTGGTGTCCCGAGCAACCTGGGCTCCGCATTCCGGGGACGAGACGGTGAGTTGCGGCAAGAGCATCCAGGCCATGCTGGGAGTTCCAGTAGGCATGCCCTCTTAAAGATGGGGAAGAACCGTGCCTTATCTCCCACTCCCAGCTAAGTCAAAAGCAACGATACAAAAAAAGTCAGAATGCTATCAATTCACTGAGGCTCATACCTTTTGGAAATGTGTTCACACTCAGAAATCGTCCCACACATGCAAAGAGTCAGTAAAACTTGTTGGCATGGTGAAGGATGTACCAAAACCCCGTCCACGTGATAAAAGTCACTCATTCACAATCAGGAGAAGTACTTCGTTAGGATCCCTTGAAATCCCCGTAAACTGGACTTCTTGTTGGACAGGTGGTCTTGCTAGTTAATTTGCTACACGTGGAGTAATTGTTCAGCTGCAAGACACTTGAGGCCACTCGTGTGGAGTCCCATCTCTCGACTGTGAAAGACTCTGTCTTTAAATTTACTCTTTCCGTCTTTCCTGCTCTCAACCAGGCAACGGCTACTTCATCCGCGGACGCAAGTACTGGCGCTACAACGACACGGCCAGGGCGGTGGACCCGGGATTCCCGCGCTACTTCGGGTCGGACTTCCTCAACTGTAACCTGGAGGCGATCATGGAAGACGAGGCCAGGGAGGCCGCGGAACAGCCGAACGGAGCGGTGGGGATGAAGGGGGTGACGGGCGCCCTCACCGTCGTGGGACTGGCTGTGGCCTGGTTAATGAGCTTGTGAAGCAACTTTAGTGTGTCCGCCCGTAAACTGGAATTCAAAATGCTGATTGTGACTCGGGTCTTTTGAAAAGTTATTTAGCCACGATCCGTTTCTGATTAGTTATTTTGTAAACAGCCCGTGGTATTTTAATACCACCACCAAACTGATTCAGATGAGGACCTGATCGTAAATTATGTTGAAATAATAGTAAGAACCCGTAATGGCTTAGGCTTTCCGTAAACAGCGCCCCAAGCGTCTTCCAAAATAGACAGTACTGCGTGTGAGTGGGAGGCCCTTTTTTATGTACCTCAAAGTTATGGCTGGCAAATGGCTAGCAAGTACAGCATTGAATTGAGTGACAAATGTAAATCGTGGGGTTGTATATGAACATCCTTCATTTCGGATGAAATATAGGCGGGGCTGACTTGATACTGGGGCCAAAATGGCGTTCGTATCAATACTGTGTAAAATGGTGTCTGTGAATAATTAAGTGAGGAAAGTACAATTCACTTTTCCAGTCAAGCGATTCTTAAGTTAATTTTGAGAGAGTTTAAATTATTTGAGTACTAAAATGCTTCCACATTGCGAAGCCCGTGTATTTAATATGATTTGAAACTGTTCTCGACGGTTCTCGTTTTAGACATCTCGCGGGCGAGATGGTCTTTACGTGTGTAAATAATGGCTTCCTGTGTTATGGGGAAGAAGCATTGTTACCGTATCAGTGTGTTTGATAAACTGTATGTGTTTACCCTAATAAACAGCTTTTCTAAGAAAATAAGTAGTGTCTTAAAAGAGTGTTGCCTTGTCACGACGTAATACATACACCATTGTATTTTGTACTCGTGGGATGTTGTATAAGAATTCTGTGCGGGAAAAGTTTTCAACAGTGTGAATGGGGGTAATGTGTTTGAATGGCCTTGAGCAATGAAACGGGTGTAAAAATGGGGGTTTCCTAATTTTCATTTATTTAAAGTCAAGGATTTGTACATTTTTAACATCTGTGACCTTTTGACCAGACGTTTGGAAAGTTTACCTCAACGGTTAGCCAATTTTAAAAGCACGCTTTGCCGTTAGTGAGGACGTTAGGGGATTAGGGTGCCAGTCAAAAATGGTGACTTAACAAACATTACCCGTGACTCATCTTCACATTTGATACAATTGTCTCCTCAAACGCTGGATTAACTAGAAGGGAAAAGCGTGACTTCTCACAGGTTTTTATACAAAAGCACTTTAAATACATGTATGAACAACAGAGAAAAGTGACACATAACTGATTGAGCATTTAAGACGTGCAAAAACGAACATGATTCAAAGACAGCACATTCATACAATGCCTTATTCCCATATCACTGACCGCGGCATACGCACGCGAATGACCGATTTATGTGGGTCTCCAGTGAGTTCCTGGAGAATATGAGACAACACGGAAGAAGTTCCTGGAGAATATGAGACAACACGGAAGAAGCCGTTCCTGAAGCGCTCAACCGGCCAGAGATCAGGCCTTGGGTCCGGGTTCCTGGGAAGCGAGTTAGATCTCGACACATTACAGGTGCGCTGTTTCTCTTTCAAATTCACACAAATTTGCCCTTGGCGAGCAAGACTTTTTGTCACCCTAATTTTCACAAGGCAGCGGACCGCACACTGGAATTTTGCATGCCACAAGAATGAGGCAGTTCTCTTTATTGAATGAGTAAAATGTACACGAAATCTCGTCATACGTTCAATATGTGTCATTATACATCGTCAGCATTTTTACGAGGTGACGAACCGCATATACGCTTCCCAACAATGACTCGCACTCGTAATAACCAACGTGGCGGATACCGTGTACCAGCCACAGAAGATCTTGCAGGGTGCATTCCACCAAATGCTTGTATTTTTGCGCGCGAGCTCATTATTATTTTGTGATCCCACGGGGTTTTTACAATAAGACAGGCCATAATCAGGAGGCATTACAGAAATATTTCTATAAATCTCGAATTTAGGACTGATAGTCTCCAGTTCAGGGTATTTCTTTCACAAAAAGTCCGAAGTTGCGGACCTATTTTGGATAGAGGCGGGCGGTTACATTCAGAAGTGAGCGCTTAGTTTTATTGCTATTGTGGGGGTATCTTCGTTCAAAGGCGAATAAAAATTTTTCGTGGCTAACCCCCATGAAATTGAAACGAAAGGTCATCCTCTGGCCATAATCTTGAATTTCCAGTGAAAAAACGGAGGCCAACCTCTTCACGAGTCAACAGGCGGCGCTATTTCGGTCCGATTTTGCACTGTTTTCTATGGGCGCGTATTTGGTGTAGTGCAAACTGCATGAAATAGTTCAGTGACAAATCACCGTCTCTGCAAAGTCACAAGCGCGCATACGCACATGCCAGTGTTGAATATGCCTTTGCAACAGCAAAAGTTGCAAGGCACGACGGACCAGGGCGCTTCTTTGGAATGTGCGTTCACACGAGATCTTGTATTGTTGTTACAATGAGCGAATATCAAAATATGACTTTAAACAGCATGAAAGAGATTTATAAAGAATGTTCTAACGAAACGTGAACATTTTGAGTTTCTGATTTATTACTCAAGGCATTTGTAGACATTTGATCCGCCTTATCAAACGATAAACAAACATGTTTTCATTATTTTGTTCAATTCAGTAAGAAAATCAAATTCAAGAAGGGAAACACAAAGCGACAAACAAGAAATGTGTTTCCAGCCTTTTGCTTAAATGATAAAAAAGAGAAAAGAAACAACACTTTCGGTTTTTTATCATAACCCTGTTAAAACTGGTTCGTTAACTGTTTTTGTTATAATCAAAACAAAACGATTGTTTGATCAAAACACCCCCTAAGCGTTGTCATGAATGCCTCTGACGTCATACGTCTTCTGAATACCAAAAAGTCTCCTGAAAAATATCACTGACAGCTGGAGCATGCAACTACTGCAGTTCGACGACTGCTTATTTGCGTCAATACGCACACGCCAACAGGGCGAGCGAACCATTATTTAGTGAATCACACCGTCAGTCACAACATATGGAGGAAAGAATATTCCTTCCTCCATGGTCACACATTGGCTATTGAACGCCAAGGCCTCACAGTTCCTGCCGTCTTTATCTTGTGGGATTATTTTCAGATCTGTGGTTCACCCTGGGCTTTTCTTTTACGGAAAAGGCTATTGGTCACCAGCGGTGTGACCATCCCCAGAGTGAGTTCCAAAATGGTTGACTAGATAGTTCAACCATCCATCGTTCAATTGCCATTGATCGAACTATTAGTTAATGCACCTCCATGTAATTTGTGACACTGTTGTGAAGACAGTGACGTTGCAAACAGATAGCAAGGACATAGCAATAAATTTCATGTACATGATTACTTTTTATTTGCAAACCTCAATGAGTTTTTATTCCACATTTTCCTCAAACAGGGAGGTTGCAAAGGTGTCAGTCTGTTACCTTGACAACATACAGTCTCACCTGATCCTTGAAAAATCATGATTTGAAAAGAAATCTCTATGACCGAGGGACACTTCCAACGAAGAAACCGCACTAGAGTTTGTCCTGCCGGTACCGGTACTAACGCCTGATTGACCAGTATACACTGTGAAAATCCCTTCCAATATTTATGCCAGTCTGTTACCAAGGGAATTGCCCGTGTATACATTTTGCACTATAGAGTTTGCTCATTGACAAAATACCAGCTTTCACAACCACAGCCCGTCCTCATACAACGTGTATACATTTTGCCCGTGCATACATTTTGCACTATAGAGTTTGCTCATTGACAAAATACCAGCTTTCACAACCACAGCCCGTCCTCATATAAACAAGAACAAAAGCAACGACAATGACAGCGACGACGTCGACTAAGACAATTAAGACAACAATTATGAAGCTTCGTCTGACACTTGGGGGAACATTACGATCTCTGTCTCCATGGTGATGACAATGACCAATTGTGTTCGTGAATATATCGTGAGCGCTCGTCTGCCTAATTTTCGAAAATTACTCAATTCATACCCAAAAGAGGAGACTGCAGGCCGTTACGTTTCGAGTGTGACGTAGCTCGGACTTTTCAGTCACATCTCAGAATCACGTGACGCCAATCAGTGGAAAGAGGACGGACACCACGACCGACCGCACGAAACCCGGTCCCGACCTTCGCGGAAAAAAAACTTGCTTCCAACTGTTCGCGCGTATTGTTCGGTGGCACCTAAAATGGAGAGATAATGCAGTAGGCCTATGTGACCCTGGCAGGGCACTTCCTGACAAAATAGTGGTGACGAGGTTTCCGGTGCCAAAGACCAAGGTTCCTCTTGTCATGCACGGCACATAATAAAATCAAGGAGATCAAAACCGAAATGTCATTTATTGATTCCACAGCAAACCGTCAGGCCTGGTTGCGAGGCTACAAAGGGAGAGTTTTCCACCAGGCTGTGTACATTTCCTGGTTCCACATGACTTTGTAATTCGCCAACACAGCACGGACTCACAGTCACAGCATAAAGCCGTCGCAGCTGTTGTGACACCACGTTCATTTCTTGCCTCATTTCAAAATAATTTCTGAAATCTCAGCATCTCAGTCTGCCTGTGTACATCGAGAAACACTGCCCGACCATGGCTCTCCTATCAATGTTGCCGTTGCTGGTTCTCGTAGTCTCGCTAAAGGCCGTTTTCTTCGCGCAATCGTCTGAGGTACAGCACCTCATGAGCGGTGTGGTAAGTTATAGACAAGTCCATATACTGTGTTCATGTCAATGCTGCACGTTGCATTACGCGCAGTTCAATTGCTACGAATGTAACATAATACTCACAAGTATCACATGGTAATTCTGAACGCAAAGGGAATTCGTGAAACATCTTTTGCGCGAGAGTTTCATCGACAATAGCGAGGCCAAGGAAGTGCGAAGAGGCGAATTGCTTGGGCAATTTCAGAGCAAAATCGACACCGACAGGAACAAAATCCGTACGGCATATGGATTTGTACATGCCAAATCGGAACGGCGAAAGTTGAGAATAGCAGTGAATGCATGGTGTAACAAAATTATTTCCAATGAAAGTGTCTTTGCCGTCTAATTTTGTTATTTATTGTAAACGGAACAAAATTCTAATTTTTCAATTGACAAACGGTACCCTGACTATGCTGTTCTGTAAATTCATATTCCATTCCAACACGAAAGAATGGTGTTGAATGATGGTAGTACGACAAATGATAAGACAGTAATCATAAATATTCCAAAGATATGTAATAAACTGCTTGCTGACTACAATGACCTAAAATACAAATCTCAAAATATAGAGGGCCTGACGTTTCGATCTTAGCAGAATCTTTCTCAAAGGCATATAGACTTTGAGAAAGATTCTTGGGAAAGTACGTGAATTTCAAATCAGATTTTTCGTCTCTTGGCCAGAAGACTCCTGGGTTTTCTTATCACAAAGCTGCTTTTATAATACGATCAATTCATTCGAGTAACAATGTGATCGTATCATATTATTCGAATTCATGTCGTTCAAAGTAAGGTCTTGATTTCATTAAGGGTGTGTTCTTTGATATTTCGGTGTGATGGCAAAGAAATAAAAGAATGAATTACACAAGTTTTTATTGCTCAAGCATAATGACGATGCACAATCGATTCCAACTTTTTTGATGACGCACATCTGTGCAAAGAAAGACATCAGATTGCACACCAACTCTCTAGAAGATGTCAATCTAACCCTTAACTCCATAGGGTGTATGTAAAAGTCATATTGAAATCGGAGGATTAAGGACTGTTGTTGACTGTTGTTGAAGCTCACTTTTCATGTTTTTCAGATTGTAACTTAATATATTATATCCTGTATCGATCGCGCTCAGAAGAATACCTGTGTGCTCCCTATTTCCTTTCAAGGATCATTTTAATCATGGCAGACACATGTTGCCATACACATAGTTGGAAACACACCGAGCATCAGAAAGGAACATGGAACCAGTTCAGTTGGAATTAGCATAAATCACTTCTTATCAGTCAATCAACCGAACAAAAATGGTGACTAACCTAATCTGACGTTTCCCCAACTATGGCAACAATTCATGTTTGCACAATACTTGTAAGAAAAACACAGAATGCAAAGCGGATTTCCTTGCTTGTTCACGAGGCTTCCCGTTCGTTTGAATTTAACCAACGGTGAACATGACGCAAGCCTATTTAGAATAACATGGTTGGAGTCGCCTGCACTCTGGAATGAACCATGTTCATGGTTAGCACATTCGGTTGTACTGTTTGGGGTGGTGATTTAAGATTCAAAGCTTGAAACGTGAATTGAGACTTTCTTGGAAATGTTCAAATGACTCTGGGCTGGCGTGGCAAGTTGCTTTGGATATTTATTCAAGAATGGGGAATGAGTCACTTGTTGTGAAAACAGGGCAAAATTTTAACAGCTGCCAAACTTGACAAAATTTATTAAGCATTTTGAAGCAGCGTACTTTTCTTTAAAACGTCAAAAAGAGTGTTGCAGATTATTGTGAAAATTCGGCTTCGACACGCTTTTTCGGTGTGCAGAGAAATGGCATAGGTTTCCATCTGTGGTATACATTTCCCCATCGACAGGTCCGTGCGAATCCATTGTTTAAAGTGAGAAAACCGCAAAGTTTCCTTGGGATAAAAATGACGAGCGAACGCAACCGGCTTCCTTAGAAATTTTGTTGTGAGAGAAATTAAGACAAGTACTATAAAAAGCTATTATACAGACTTCGAAACTACCTCAATTACCACCTCGCCCAAACCATTTTTTTTTTGATAAGCACAAGTCATTTCAAAACCTCATCATCACGACAATAATGTGACGCCCTTTCGGTTCTCGAAAATGTTCAAACAATAGTGTCTCCATAGTTACAAAGCCGGGGCGGTCCTTTAATGTGAACTCACCGCCTGCTGGCACATAATACGTATTCAGTGCGGCACGTGCTGAGTACACGCAACCAATTTTTGTTTGAATCATAGAATGTAGCATAAAGGGCTTTTTGTTCCACATCAGGATTTGCACCCTACGGTCTTTGCGCGTGCGCTGGGTGCGTGAACGAGCCTGTCTCTTTTGGACCACTTCAACTCGGGGCGGATGGTCGCAACGGGAGGTGGGGGGACGTTTCCACTTTGGGCCCCTCTTTCCATATTTGTCCATCGATCATTGAGCGAATGGCTAACCTAACCGACCAGGAAACCAGAGACCCTGACAGCAGCCGACAGCCAAGAAAAACACTTAAAATGTTTGACATGCTGCCCCCCCCCGGTTTTCCGGTATTGGAGCTATGACTGTCTGCAAACACTATAACAGTCCCTTTTCAAAAGTTAATCTTATTTAACGTCATGTTGATATTACGCTATTCTAATGCTCTTTTAGTCATGATGGAGCTAAGCTTGAAATTTGGTGCTGAAAAAGCTGTAAACTGAGTACTGAAAAAAATTGTGCAACGTGTAAAGTCTAGTTATGACAAATGAAAAACAGTGCAATAAAATGTCTGCCAGTTTTTTTACCTACAGCGAATATCAGATAACCTAAATTGTTGGTCGATTCGGGTGAAACGTCTACCAAATTTCAGGAGTACTCATCCTAGGTATATATTATACCTAGGTATAATATATACATATTTCTATTCTCTCATTATTTCACTGTTTATGAAAGAAACTATATAGGGAAACTGACTAGGTGCTTATAAATTATTATAAAGGTGAACAAAGAAATTGACTGGAGCGGGATTTGAACCTGCGACCTATGGAACATCGTACCAGTGCTGCACTGGTACGGTGTTCCAGAGGTCTCAGATTCAAATCTATCTTTATAAGGATTTCACTGTACAAGTAACATTTATTTCAGAAAGTGGTCAAAATGACCTTGGAGGAAACAGGGACTGCACACAACTGTTTCCATGGGCTGTCAATATGAGTTCCTTTCGCATTGCCTACTATTCGCACGGGCGGCCAAAGTTTGCAGAAATATCACCCTTGGTTAGAGTCACTTTTCGCCTCGAAGCTTGTACACATTTGCCGCTTGGCTTTTAAAGAGGGTTAAACTTTCATTCAATACTTAGTAGCAGGCCCTACTTTTTGTTATATAGGGTTCCAAGAACTGCGTGCGATCTTTCAAAGATTTCGTAGATTATTCTTTTGCTGTGGCACTGACGGGTGCCATAATTTCCTTGGCACTGGCAGGCAAAAATGCGACTGTGGAGAAGAGAGATGTCTTTACAGGGTTTCCAAAATAATATTTATGCTCCCATATTTCATCCCGGTTCACGGGGAAATCGACAACCCTGATTTTTCAGTGTCCCTCGTTTCAACCCGACCGCTCGTCTCAAGAGCAGGAAGCCACAAAACACGATTTTTTCCATTGTTCAACTAAAACAAAGACGACCCGGTCAGAGGTCGCATCTTTTGGCAGACCGACCTACCGACCTTTCGACGACAAAAGCTCCGGTTCGCAACCTGGCCCTGATGTTATACAATGGCTTGTACCGGGTACCAGTTTGGGTTTCCGGTTCGTGAACAGTCCGAGACATGGGCTTGAAGATAATAGCTGTCAGACAATCAGCCGGAAATTGTGACCCGAATGACACACCAGCGAATATTTTCTAAGCTGCCTGTGGTGCAGCCTTACATTTTTTTTAACGTCAAATATGTCATTACTTTGGATGCAACTCCCAGATACAAGGGAAATGGACCCGGTGACCTTTGACCCAGTTCATATGGCTAAGGTTGTTCTGTATATCAGCACGCGTTTATCCATGCTTTGTTGAAAGGTCCCGATTATATTGGAATGAAAATCGAAAAAGTTTTTCTTCTTTTTTTAAATTAAAACTTGCACGGTAATGGACGCCACCAATTCAAAATTTGGAACCCGTTTGACTTATTATACACCGTTGGTGGATAATACGGGCTACCCACAATGAGCGCACCTCCAAAAGTTTGCAACGCGTTGGCCAATCACAACGCACGAAATCTGTCGACTCTTTCCAAACGCGCGCTGAGTCGACAGATTTCCCTCATTGTGATTGGCCATGGCGTTTCAAACTCTTGAAGGTGTGCTATTGAGAAACACCCGTACTCAAGTCTGACAAACTTCATAGCCAGAAAGTTAAAAACAAAATAAAACACAAACAAGCGAAACATTTGTTTTTGGGAATGATATCCTTCAAACCCACAAAAACATCCTCTATAAATGGCAAAACTGGTGTCCCACGAATGCCAATGAATCCGTCTTTCAATACGTATCAATTTTGAAATTAAGAGACAACGTTCCTTTTTATATATATACGCGAACATATATCCCCGTTATCACAGCTTGTAAGATCCAGATCAACGTTTCGATCAGTCAGTTCTGGTAATCTACCCGGGTCGAGGTTATTGGCATTTTTACAGCCCTTCAAAAGTAGCACACGGGAAAATACGCCGTTGAATTAGTATCACGCGCGTGGTATCTCAAAATGAATACTTAGAAAGCGATGCCACTGTTGATACCTCAATGCACCGATTTTTGTAGTGAACGCTTCTGTAAAAGTCTATTATTCTGGTCTTGTTTCTTTCTCCAAGAATTATCTCCAGAAGTATGGGTATATGGACGAGCCTGATCCCAACGCCGCCGAGCTGATCTCGGAGATCGAGGTCCGCCAGTCCATCATGTTGATGCAGCGGTTCTTCGGCCTACGCATGACCGGCCAGATCGACGAGGCCACAGCGGAGATGATGGGCAAGCCCCGTTGCGGCCTACCGGACATTCCGCGGGGCCGAGGCCGCTGGTTCGGGACCAGCTGGGGCGGGCGAGCCAAGCGGTACCTCACGCAGGGCATCCGGTGGGAGAAATACGACCTAACATATTCGTAAGTATTATATTAACATTGCACCCCGTCCCAATTGAGTATGAAGCTCACATTCTTCACAGTCTAGTCATAAAAAGTGAGAAAAACTATGATTTCGAAGCCTTATTGTTGAACTGGTTCACATCTTTCTGTACTGTATGTAAATCTGCTATTGAATAGGCATAACATTTACTGGAACTGAATGGACAAGTATCAAAATGTTACAAAGTTCTAAAAATTCCGCCAAAACAACATTAGGAAGAGTGAAAAGGATGAAAACTCTATCTAGGTTAGACTTAAGCGAAGAGAAATGCTTCACTTGAACCAAAGCTGGCTGGTGGTTCAAGAGCCTGGTTCTCAGTACCGACCTGTGCTACACTATTTGAAGAAAGACTTATCAGCAAAAACAATATGTGTCATGATCCAGTTGACAAAATGGGGTTCCTTTCAAGTGTTAAATAAAATTGTTCGAAATTAACTCGGCATTAATCTGCAGCTTTGACAACTACACACCGGACTTATCACGGAATCAGGTCCGCGACTCCATTGAGCGAGCCCTGAAAGTGTGGAGTGACGTCACCCCCCTCAGGTTCCGCGAGATACAGGGCGGCAACCCAGACATCCACATCAAGTTCGCCAGCCGCGAACACGGCGACAGCTACTCCTTCGACGGGAGCGGGGGCACGCTTGCGCACGCCTTCTTTCCCGGGACCGGCATCGGCGGTGACGCGCACTTCGACGAAGACGAGTCGTTCACGTTTGGCACGTACCAAGGTATCGTACGAACTCTCTCGCTCTCTCGAACTCTGACAAGTGTGCTCATTTTATATTCAGTGTGTTGTAAATAAGTGTTGTTGTTTAGACAGTGTACATGTAATTGAAAAAACAAAACCCCAGGGACGGCTTCCGGATAGTCGACTAGACTAGCTAATAGTGTGCCTCCAAGAGTTTGCAACGCGTTGGCCAATCACAACGAAAATTTGCCGACCACTTCGAACGCGTATTGGGTCAACAGATTTCGCGCACTGTGATAGGCCAACGCGTTGCAAACTCTTGGAGGCGCACTATTCAACCACCCATTGTTGAGTTGGCATTTAGTTCAACTGTGGTTAACTACGGTCGTTGCTCGAACTTCCCCAGCAAATAGCGCCAAACCTTTCTCCTCCCCCCCCCACATCACAAAGCTCACAATAAACCGGCACAAAACAAGACTCCAGTGATACTGAAACTTACCTTTCCCTTTGTCCGCGCAGGCACCAACCTGTTCACCGTGGCTGCCCACGAACTTGGCCACTCTCTCGGCTTGGGCCACTCGGACGTGCAGGGAGCCTTGATGGCGCCCTACTACCAAGGCTACGACCCCAATTTCCGGCTGCACTCTGACGACATCGCGGGAGTCCAGAGTTTGTACGGTGAGGGCATCTACAACCGAAATTTCAAATTGTATCAAACAGTAATTGTGAGGTCTTTTGCTGGTTATATAAACATGTGCAGCATCGTCAAGTATTTGCCTCCCACGAGTGCATGAAACCCGAAGCATACGCTTAGACCAAATTTGAAAGCAATTTTTCAACCCTGTTGTAGAGTTTGCTCTTGAACAGGTACAAAATTATAAAAACGGTCATCAAAATGAAGCAATGAATATTTTCGGTGTCGATACAAGAAACCAAAGGCTGCTGTTTCATTACTTGTGACAATAAGGTTCCAAGTTTTGTTGGAAACCTTCCTCGTCTAAATTTACTGTCGCACTGATTTGAGCGGGTTTCTTCGACCGGCACGTTGGCACGTTGGCGGGACCCAAGTTTCGCCGAATGAGCCGATGTGTTTATCTCCACACGCGAGATACAATGTTCAACTCGGGCAGATATTTCAAATTCAAGAAATTTGTGTCTTTTATTCATCAGGAGGAAATCCGCGACCCCCTACCCGCCCACAGCCCCGGCCGACAGACCCTCCGGTGCCGACCCAACCCCCGGTGGAGCCCGAACCGACCATCTCACCCACCTGTACCGGAGGTTTCTCTGCGGTGTCTGACATCCGTCGCGAAGTCTTCATCTTTAAGGTCAGCAATACCGATTCTCGCGATCACTATATTTTCATAATGAGAAAATCGCGGATGTATGCTTTCAGTAATCGAACGATCACACGTACTCAAAATTTACCCAATTTGGGGGATTTTTGCTGCGTTCATGTTTTCTTGTTTCTGTAATTTTTTTCAGTCATTTGACACAGACTTTAATGACCCATAGTTGGGGCATCCATAATACTGCAGAGAGGGTGTAAATAGTATGCAGTAGCAGCTTGGAGCAGTTTATGTTGGAAAAATATCGAAAACTGTGCACTTAACCCTATAATGGTGTAGCTTTCCTCCAGGTTCAGACCTGAATGGAAATTTGTATATATTTGTACAAATTTGTACATTTGTACAAAGCATGTAGAAGTGTTAAACGAGTCCATGTCGCAGACTTATGAGGGCTTTGAAATGCACCCCCTTCAAAAAAACAAAAAACAGAACTCAAAATAAAAATGGAAGATCCTTTTTGGAGACGGTCCCTTTTTTTCTATTGAAAAAAAATTGGAACGCTCATAAAAACTCTCAAATATTTACCAAAACCTGTGAGTGGTATTAAATCAATCAACCGTGTACCATTTTTATTCTATCTACAGGAAGAGAAAATGTGGCGATTGTCCAACAGTGGTACCCCGCTCACTGGTTACCCGATGCCCACGAGCCGGTTTTGGGGGAGTGCGCCCTCTCATGCTGACGCTGTTTTCGAAAAACTCGATGGGACAATAGTTTTCGTTAAAGGTGAATTCCACGAGTCGACCTTTCTTTTCAGTACTAGTATATTCATGTTTCATTATGCATCCTTTTTTTACACAGTTTGTGATTAACACACACTTAAAGCCTAGCATGCATCCATGTTTAACCATAAGGCAAGGTTTAACAAAATAATGGTTGGTCCATTTCCCTTAATCTATGCCAAAATTTGTGGGCACCAGGCAAAATTTACTGCTAGTTGGCGAATGGTTGGTGATCGAATTTAGCCTAAAGCAGTTTTAATAGGTTTGATTTGCGCATACCTGTTTGATAACAAAGATATTGTCATCGATCATGCCATGGACAGGGTCCAGATTCTGGGAGTTTAACGGGCTGAACATGAAGCAGGGCTTCCCCCAGCATGTTGGCCAATTGACAGGCGGCGAGCTGTCTGACGTTGATGCGGTTCTGTCGCTCAGGAGGGAGGCCAAGACCTACTTCTTCAAGGACGCCCTCTGCTGGCGATTTGACGGCATGGAGGGGCAGATGGAGGCTGGCTACCCTAAATCGATCGCGGACGAGTGGGTCGGGGGACCCGATAGCGTGGATGCGGCTTTCAATCTCGACGGTAAGTACACTGATATCATCATGAAGTCGTGTCCCAATTAAAAGGCCGTGTCTTGGAGTAAAACATATCCATATGGGAACTGGCTTGAACTGCCAGCCAGAGGCTTCCATAGGCGCACGTGTTTTATTTTCATCAGCCGCAGCCAAAGCGTTCAGATATGGCCTTGGGCCCTCGGCAAAGACAGGTTTCCATCACGTCCCCTGCAAAACATGGATTGCGCCCTCTGATGCTCTAAGTCAGACAGTCTAAATGAATCAAAATGTGCAGCAGGCTATCCACAGTGCATGGCATTTCGAGCACATAATCGCCTTAAGACCTACTGTCACCATTGCTGATATACGGAAGGCAATTAACAAGGCGTAAGAGGTTGTGCTCTTTTACAGCCTTTCAATTCACCCTCATGCGAACCATAGCAAAATATCTGCTTACAGGCAACATTAAGTTCATCCGCATTTTCGATGAAAAACGTTGCCTGCCTACAGCGGAATCTGGACTGTGGGATCAGACATTCTCTCGCTCAGTAATAACAGCAACAAGAAAACAATGCAAGCAACGTCTTCATTTGTGTAGGTCCTATTTGTACGTATGCGTTAATCATAGGCACGACCTTGACAGCGTCGTAGTCATTGACTTACCTCAAGAGATCAGCATTGACCTGTCATCTGTGAACCAGACACGTTTCCCCTAGGACTCCGTTCTGGCTTCTCATCATTTTCAATGGCCTTTATATCTCGTTGTAATCGAACGCACTCGTGTCCACGAACCCGTTTCACGGCCAGCGCTATCTTCGGTTAAGTCTAGTATCTTGAACCATGTGCTTAATAACTCCATGCTTGAACTCTATGGGGAAACCTCGTTATTGGCAAACGTGTGCAACAGGTTGGCCGGCTGTGACAGCCAGCGACTGATTGTATATTTCCAAAGAGTACAATACACCACCCACATTTTAACGACGTCGCTAAGCACACAGGTTTACACTCACAGATGTTCCATGTATTTCGTAAAGACCGCAAGCAGTAAGCATGGCAAACGGCATGGCAATCTCATTGGGCGCGAAACCGTATAAGCAGCTCCGTAGAATAACCCTTTTGCAAATTAAATTTGAATAAAATCTGGTACACTGAGTTCTTTAAATTCACGTGAACATAATTTGAATTCTCCACACTACAGATACTGTTGCTATACCTCGTGATTCGGGCAAGCTTTTGCTTAGTTACATAAGAGACACCTCGCAACAATACACTGTTCTCATAGATAAGAAGGTCACAAAGGAACCAGTCCATTCCAGAGATGGTGGTCGCTATGCAAAAGCTTGCCCCTAATCACAAGGTATAGCGACAGTATCTTTAGTCAGTGGAATTAAAATTGTTACGTTTCTGTGCAATCAAATAACTCGGTGTACCAGATTTTATTCAAATTTAACTCGCAAAATGGCTTTTGAGCCGACGATTTTGACATGTCACCTAAATTGAAACCAAAGAGGACAGCATCGATGATAAGGTCCTTGGGTAGCTCTTTCCACGGCTATTTACATAGCCCGGAAAAGGTCTTAATCTTCGATTTCATTATGAGTTTACATACGTCCTTAAAAGAGGCGAACACCTACATCCGGTGTTGGGTTACGCCGGCTTGACAAGTTGCAGTAGTTTTCATTGTTAGCATGCTATACGACAAAGTGTGTCCGACATGGGCCTCAAGGGGAAATTCCACAGTGCCTTTGTACTCAAACACAAGCAATCCTGATACTGAAAAAAATCACGCAGCTAGGGGATTTGTGTTTACGAAAACAAATGATGTGCTCATGGTCCGTGACATGTTGTGCTTCTTCTGCAGGCGACTCCTACCTCATTCAGGGGAACCGGTACTGGCGGTTCAGCGACGGCAGCAGGACGACTGAAGCGGAGCCTGGGTGGTTCACGGTGGACTTCCTGGGCTGTTCGGAGGACACGGTGTTCACCCCCACCGATCCCGCGCCTAGTGGCGCCGCCAGGACAGCTTTGGAACTCTGGGTCTACCTCTTGTCGGCGTTGACAGCGCTCATATTTTTGACATGACTTCTCAAAAAAACAAACAAACTAACAAAAAAAACACTCAAGCGATGTCTGGTACGAGGTTTACGAACAACCTCGTCTATTTTAAGCCTGCGACATTATTATGCTGCGCCTCCATAGTCGCTTAGGTTAAAGAAAAGTTTAAAAAATTACAGTACACGATGATGACTGTAATTTTTAATTGATCGTGGATCTTCCTTACATTGTTGGGTTTTATTTTTAATTATTTCATTGATCTTTCCGTGGAAAAAGCTATTCGCAGGACGAAAGTGTATGGGTTTCAGCATGTTGTGAATTAGCTGATGCATGAGATGACATCAGGAAAGATGCTGAAGTTTATATATAAATATTTATATTTATGATGTTTAACTATGAAGATCAAATAACATATTGAAGGAACTGAAAAGCAATTTGTTAAAAGGTACATTCGTTGCTTTTCTTGAACAAAATTTCAGTATTTCTTTCTCTGTAAAGCTTATTTGTGAATCCTTGATTCACATGTTAAATATTATACGACAAACATGGCAAGTAAAGCATAATGTTGCAAAACATAAACGTGTAAAGTGAATTTTACAATGTCTTAAAACAAACGAATACACTGTTTTACCTTTAAATGTAAATAATGGTGACAGAGTCTTCGCGGGCGAGGACAGAAGTATTTTTTTATCTAATCGCGTGGACGGTATTTATCTTAAAAACTGCAGGGGAGAGCGGGATTATTTCCCGCCATAATTATAACCAAGTCCGTTCTAGAACAGTTTCACCTGAGTTGCCATCAATCCACACGTCAGGATCACCAGTGAAGTCAAAACTCAGACAACTGGTTCGGCCAAGAACGAACATGACGGCTAAAGCTATAGAAATAGAAATAATCCGCGTGCCTAAGGGAGCCATGGCTACAGCGGGTTTCAACTACTTACCGTAGGAACGTGTGTTAATTCGAGTCGTAGCCGTAGCCGTGGTTGATACGAACACAGCCTTATAGTTTACTGCACCAACAGTGACAAAGGGCTGATGGCCATGCCTCAGTCGCTATCCAGTGAATGGATGCATGGTGACTTGACTTGGAACTTGATGCGTGATACATAGTAACGATGACTCGATTTATAAAATAAGTAGAGTTTGTAAATACAGTATAATGTTTGTCACTGCTCTATGTCCATTTTGCGTGTCTTTTTAGAAATAAAGGTACTGGGAACGTAACAGTCACAGACTTTTGTACGAATGCTGTAAACGAGTGATTTGATCCCATTCCCCGCAATGATCGATGATTAAGCTCTGGTAATGTTATTCACGACGTTGCATAATTATTATTACAACGTAGCATTGTTAGATTTAGTGGACACAAAACAAAAATCAGGGCGTCCATGAGCTGACCGACTGTTGGCTACTTCTTTCAAAAATAATGGCGGAAGTCTTCATTATATCCCCTGATGCGGAATTATGAAGCGGAAAAAATAGATTACTACCATAACTCATAACCCACACCGACGACCAATGTTATTTTTTAGGTCCTTGTTTTCTTTAACCTCGATTTTTGGTCATTTTTTTACATTCCTATTCTTTCATGCCAACTAGGTATGAACAGCTCCATGAACCGTCGGGGGGACAACTAGCAAGATAACTTTAAGGTAACATGTCCATGGGAATATAAACGAGCAATTCTCATCACACACCTCTTGCGACGCTACCGAACATATCCACTGAACACCAGCTACCTGCCTCGAACAGAGGTGCCCCCTTCGTCGGTTGAAAAGAGCTGTGTTGGAAGTGGAGTGTGTTTGTTTTGTTGGTAGCGATGCGACAGTAACTCGTGCACTTCAAAGTCGTTTGTGAACCAGCGAAGTGCGGTTCCCACCAAGCCGGGAGCCTGAGCCGTGGAGTTACAGGACGACACGCTGCACCTTTTTGAATCGGGGATTGTAACTTGTGACTGTCTATGTAACTACAAAAATTTAGCAACCAGATAAGAATTTACCAACAGACACGTTTTTGACGACCGCCAGCGGGCTTGGGATGTCTGAAGGCGGATGAGAAAACGTTGGATGGCGCTGTCACATCGTGGCCTTTTTTTAGCTGCCATTTCCCTGAATCCTGGTGCCGATAAGAAGGCCCATAGATACATACAGAGTTGTCTCGAATTGACTGTTTGCAGCCCCAAGTGAGGCCAAATGTCCTCAAAGGAAACTCATATCAAGGCTTAGTTCTATTTTGCCACGCCTGTATTCGGGCTCCTAGCATCGAAATCCCAGCTGGCTAGTGATGCAGCGTTAGTCATAGCACCGGGACGCTGGCTCAGTGTGACCTGGTTTAAAAGGGAGAGGGATCGATGATTCAAGGCCATTTCAAGTGGTGGAGACGTTATGAAGTACAGAAACTCCGGTTGGTTTTGAAGTTTATCTATACGGTCTGACTCAGAAACGATCACATGGCTGACGATTAAAAACTCATACATATATAAATGCTAATAGGCCACAATTGTTATTTTAACTCTTACTCGGTTTTTCGATCCATTTCTTTCATATTCCTTTCGCCAGCATGCACATCGTGTTTTGATCTTATAAATGGTGATCTATTTTCCAAAGATGTACTTGAACCGGGTAGATGTTAATCTACTGCGGGTAGGCCTTTTTACCCCTCAACCTTTAATTTTTTCGATCTATTTCGCTACCCACAAGGATAAACTGGTGAATTGTTTTTCACGGAACTCTGCAATAATACTGTATACTGTGCTACTGAGTAAGACAGGCATACATGTAAGGGCAAAGCCCACAATTGAAAGCTAAATTCTGAATTGGAACAAAATTCCTTTCATCTGCTAAGTCAGTGCGATTCTATCCACTGAAGGACCGTTTGAGTTGAATATTATGATAGGATATTATTATTAAGAAAAAAAGCGGGATCCTGTCTGCCAAACGCGTCAAACAAGGCAGTTGGTACACTTTGCGATATGTTTCGTTCTGAATTATTAAACCTTACAACTAAATCCAGTGTCATCTACTATGACCATCCAGCTTAAAAAGAGAGGGCGCAATTTTCCTAGCAATGGAGGCTCCTTTGGTGACTGAACTTCGCTGGCTCACAAGCGACTATCAAACGCTTGCGTTTCTATCGCAACGCCACCAACAAAATGAACACTCCCAACCAACATGGCTCTTTTCAACCAATAAGGGATTTTTCTGCTGGAGGCGGATACACTACTACATCCGATACGATTTAATGTGTTTCAACACAATTACAAAACACACATATATTATTGGGAAGACCCGTATTCATAAATATCTTTCCTGTATTCCGATATTTTCCGTATTCAACAACGGTCAACGTGACTGTGTTAACGTTTGATAATGCCCACTGCGATTTGATAATGTCCACTGCGTAAAAACGCGTGACGCCTGGGTACAAGACAGTTTAATCCACGCATTCCTATCCACCCTGAGTGAAGTACATCCTCACCGGCGAAAGAAAGACAGATGGATACTAAGTTTTCCAACCGGGCTCTTGCGCATGTTCGGCGTGCACTCGGACACCATACATGTACATTCCTAAATTCGTCACGGTTGCGCGTACTCAGTGTGCTCTGCGTCAAACGCGCATAAACTTGCGCACCTATGCGGTGGGTACGTACCAAGGGTGCATTCCACCAAATGCTTGTATTTCTGCGCACAAGCTCATTAATATTTTGTGATCCCAAGTGATTTTTACAATAAGACAGGCCATAATCAGGAGGCGTCATAGAAATATTTCTATAAATCTCGAATTTAGGACTGATAGTCTCCAGCTCAGGGTATTTCTTTAACAAAAAGCCCGAAATTGCGGACCTATTTTGGATAGAGGCGGGCGGTTACATTCAGAAGTGAGTGCTTAGTTTTGTTGCTATTTTGGGGGTATCTTCGTTCAAAGGCGAATAAAAAATTTTTTGTGGCTAACCCCCATAAAATTGAAACGAAAAGTGATCTTCTGGCCATAATCTTAAATTTCCAGTGAAAAACGGAGGCCAACCTCTTCACGAGTCAACAGGCGGCGCTATTTCGGTCCGATTTTGCACTGTTTTCTATGGGCGCGTATTTGGTGTAGTGCAACCCCAAAGGACTGTCAATTTCACTTCAAAACATGCCCTCTTTTGTTCCTGCTCGGGCGGATTAGTCAAGTGCCTGTGTGCGCCACGAGTGGACCATGTCCATATAAGGAGATTCTTCGGGACTACATGCACATACGATATACAATAAAATGGACGGGGGTGTTAGAGAAAATGAAAGTAAAATCCTTGCACTAAATCCATGGAAATTTATCGTACATTGACTTCTTTTGACTCTCTGACTAAAACGGTATTAATGGATGGGAATAAATATGAGCTAGGTCCATCTCAAACAGAGCCGGTCTTAAACGTAAATTTAATTAAGACCAGCCAAGGACATGTCTATTCCCTTATTTTTGTATCTCCGATTGATTGAACAACTAAAGTAAATTTTTCTAATCAGCTTTCAGGTAAAGTTTGTTGATTCTTTTACGCACAGGTGGCATCTAAGAATCCCAGAACAAGATCGTCGTGCATGTTCAACTGACGCTGAAGTGAAAAGTGCAATGAGTAAAACCGGGGGTGGGGTTGATTATCAAATTCCTACAAAAACAAATTTAGCTTCGGGCGTTTGGGATCGTTTGCACAATTTTTACGGTTATACAAATTATATATCTACTTAAACGTGCACACAAACGATGATTAAACCATTATCGGTTGAACAATGCCTTTAATCCAATTTCCGCCAAGCCGGCTTAGCAGACGTCAGCAGCCGTGAACCATTTACAGCCATGACGACTTTAAAACGTGTCAACGTCCGCCAACGACACATACAAACGGTCTACTACTGTGGTTTTATACACCAAAGGTGGTTAACGCGATATGCCACACGTGCAACCCACCCTCGGAAAATGGGCGCCGGCTACCAACTACATGTGTCATTTCGACTTCAGATTTCACGAAATGCTTCACAACCATTCCCCTTCCACAGTACCGATAAAATTGATTTCACATTCCGCAACGGGGTCATGACAAGAAATATAACCACATACCTACATTTATCTGGTTTTTCAGGCAAGCTTATGCTTAGTCTGTGGAGCATTGTTATCGATGTTAACTCACTGCAGTAGGAAAAAAGGGATCGAGAATATGACGTCATCAAAACAACATGGCGCCATCCATCAGCCTACAAGTTTCGCATGCAATAGTAATTTTGTAAGTTCCTATGGCTTTTGAAAGCCCAGGAAAGCAAAAATAGACACGTGTGTGCGGTGAAGGCTGTAAAAAAGGGGGAAATGAATCATATGACCAGTTCAGCATCCCGACCGGAAGGCGGGAAACAAATATCATTGACAATGTCCGTTTGACATTGTGCCGTATATTACCTACCCTGCATCACCGCAACACAAGTGCCGCATGTCAACTGTTCGGTATAGAAGCGTACACGTCTTTACGTGCATTTATCTACCTGAGTTTCGGGACAATATTATACATGAATTTCAATGGGTGATTTAATGAAGGATGGAGAGATCTTAGGTAAAACACGGGGGGGGGGTTCTGTGCTGTTAAACAAATTTCCCAAAATTGCTTTCGTTGAACTCTACTGACTGGCATGAGATCTGCTTCATAATCATTATGAACCAGAAGTCCAAACACCGATCGTCTCAATGCCAAGATACACTCAAATCACGTGGATCTGACGAGCATGTCTCTGAGCCGAACGACGGACCCTGCGTAACAGCATGCACCATCACCTTGGAAAAAAAAAGTCCGGAAAAATCAGTGCGTCACAACAGGGACATGAACCCTGAGAGGGAGTTGAGAGGGAAGAAGGCGCGGCATTGACGGGTCGAGGATTGGCCTCGAAAGCATGGTGGAGTGCACCAACATTAAGTAGGCCGACTCTCCGTCTTCGATCCCAACTCGCGGCCGCTCATGCTCCACAAAATCGTGCGATATTGCGTGGGCTGCGCGGCGATTCACCCAACCCTCTGAAAAAAAGATGGCAAATAGAAGCCACCACTTGATTTAATATAAGTTACGACCAAAATAATCTCCCTTGCATGGATTCGTCATCTTCCTTTGCTTCTTTGAAACAGGGCCGTTGATTGGCTGGGCGATAATCGCGGTTTCCTGTGTGCTGGTATTATTCACAGTGACTGGGGTAGGTACGAGTCACAAGCTAACACCGCGTCGAGTCGCCCCCGTACGCTCCCCGCTAGACACTTCTACCTCGAGCCAAGGGTTCCCTCCCTTTTTGAGATCTGTATTACCCGTCGACGCATCTTGGATTCCTTGGATAGTAGATAACGGACGAAGACGGGACAGACAGTATAATAGAGCGGCAGGGGCCGATCCTTTTGGTTGTCTCTCAAGAATGGCCGGATCTAATTTTCGTCTGCTACTGGTCCTGGGGTTGGGGTGCACTTTGTGCGGGCTGTTGTTGGCCGACAGCGAGGAGGCTGGACAAGCTAACCCGCAGCTAGACGGCGGGAATGAGGGCAGTGCCGTTGATGCTTCCTCGGACGATGATGTAACAGACCCCGGTGAGATCGAAGAGGCAAATGTAAGTCTGAGTTGACTGGTCCCAAATTTGGTTGGTCCCAAACTAGCTCCATAATATTTCATGGGAAAGAAATTGCAGTTATAGGATAGGTATTAAAGGTATGCCAGGCACGTTGGGCAGTCGTGGAGAGGAGGATATGAGTTTATAATGGATAAAACCAGGGATACTCAAAAACAACGTTGCGTAGAACAGCAATGACCAAGCTTGCTGAAATGACCGTACCGCATGAAGAGGTCCGCAGAGCAGTAAACTTACCAGAGCGCCTATACTCCTCATTTTCAAGCAGAGAGAACCTTCCAACTGTGGCTACAATTAATTTTTCTTAAACACAAGTTTTCTGCAACTTCATTCTCTTTTTGCAATATATTGGCAGCCTTTTGAGATCTGTGTAATATTAAATAATGTTAAATGCACCGACAAGTAAACTTTGTCAAACATTCAAAAGTCATTCACGCTTTTCTGGACAACTGAGGGCGCTGTTCCTGTGACGTCATCAGGAGCACATGGTTCGGTGCATAGGGTTTTTTTCAAATTGTGATCCAGAATTTAGTCACTGAAAACATCTATGATAAAAAAAGAAGAAGAAAGACTCAGGGGTTTGGGGGCACAAACCAATTGTAACATTAAGGTTTTCTTCCTGGGATGACATCATGGGTTTGCTCAGAAATTTGGAAATATACATTAGCATAAAAACCAAAAAGGCAGAAAAATACCCGTTGAAATAGTCAAAGAAACATTGAAAATGAACTTAACCGAGGAACAAAGCTGTAATTTTGGAGGTTTGTATTAAAATAAATTCATTACACCTACACTTTACGCCACCCTAGGCGCAGATATGTCATACTGTGTTCACTTATGTAGAACACATTGAAAGAAACAGAAACCGATAGAGATCGACCTAAGTCACGTGACCTATAGTGGGTATCATACATCAACAAACATGGTGTCCGAAGCTTCTATAGCAAAGTGTGGTTTACTAACAACAAAGCCAATTTTCGTGCAGTGCTCAGCACATCAGTAGTCTGGGTACTTTACCGACCGTCGACTTTATATTTAGCAAATGACACTTATATGACACACTCTTTTAGGTCTATGGGAGGACGATATGTTTGCTGATGTTTGATACCCACGATAGGTCACGTGACTTAGCGAGCACAATGATCGGATTATTATCAACCGTCTACAGGACACCTGATCCTTGCTTATATGCAGAACATAATAAAATGCTCATACCAAATTGGGCATTCTGACTGTGTGTGTATTAGTTTCGACTATGCATCGAATATAAACGGAATATGGAGAAAGGCATACCAAAATTAACGTTCAAGTTTTTCGTAGGTATGTACACAATCAAGGATGTTTTCACCTGGCGTCACTTTATTATTAGCGCCCTAGATGGTAATTCACAATAAATCTCTGTGTGAGTGGCACAGCACATGTATAAAACCAAAGAAAGGATCAAACTTGATGGAAAGAGATCATTGTAACACTGTGTGCTATGCCCCACCAGGGATGGCCAGTACTAAGCAATGGGGATTTTCCAATTCGGTAAACGTTGAACCTGGTACGTGGCTTCGTGACTTCGTCTTGCATCCTATTTCGCCTCGTATAAGGAGTGTGCATAGTGGTGTGAAATCATCCTTGACGCGACGGTGGGGGGGTCGCCCTCGAATTAAATGCCGTCCTATAGGTGAATTGGTACTATCCATACACAACAGAGGAACTATATTCCGCTTAAGCTGTACAGACTGTAACTCGGAAAATGTAAAAAAAAGCAAACAAACAAACAAACAAACAAACAAACAAACACCCCAAAAAAATAAGAAGAATAGATGTGCAGCGGTTATGGTATTAGAAGGTTTTATTTCATTTTCGTGCGAAGCTTAGGGTCGCCACGTTGGATCGACGTGTGAGCAGTCCCCTTGATTCAAAAACCAAATTAATGTTTGGTCAACCCTGATTATTGCCATTGTTTCCTCATAAAAGTATATTTGCTACGTTAAAAAAGATTTAAGTACTGTGCATTATTTTTTGTCATATTTTTGGGGCAAAATGGAGCAGAATCATTTACACAATTATTTTAACAATAGAATGGGCCTTCTCACGACCTACTCTGGAAAAATGCTGAGCCAATTAAAATTACTATAAAGTTTTCAATGTTTCGTGTGACATTTTTAACTGTAAAGTGTGGCCAACAAGAATTTTCACTAGAACGAGAATAGCTTTGCACGGTAGACGAAAGGCCCCTCACCAGACCTCTGGCCATACCAAGGGTTGGCAGTGACGTTATTTCCTATCGATTGTTTTTAAATAGCCGTGCCCTTTCTCCGCTGCAGTACGAGTCATTAATCGCTGTAAAGGCCAACAAGGCCACATACCAGGCTGACCTTTAGCTCAACTTTCTCCATGTGACCCGGAAGTACCAGCATGTTCTCTGATCTTGTACCCCTACTACGTAATTACAATGTCCGTTTACGTCATACTGCTTATCTTCCGTGAGATAAGCTTGGGTAACCCCAATCCCAAGACCCAATCGGGAACTCGACATCTATTTATATTACTGGGCGTATCTTACTGGCGAGACTCTAAGGTGAACTTTGCATTTTTAAATGTGCTTCCAACCCCAACCCCCATCGCAGCGCTGACGAAATTCACCAGATAGCGTGCAGCGGTGGTTCGGGAGACATATAGGAGAGACTGAAGATTTGAACACGAATCACGTAAATATTACGAAAGGATTTTGCTCCAGGACCATGACAGATACGTGCACACTTCGTTTCCACCTTTTTACTGGCAGAAGTAATGTTGATTTAATGCAAACAAGAAAGGATCTCTTAAAAAACACATACAGAAATCAATTAGAGAAATTTTATGTATCATTTCCGGTAGTTATTATGGAACGGGTGTTTCTCAAGCCAGTAGGGCGGAGCTGTTAGGCGTGGTCAAGGGGGATGTAATCTAGTGCATCGCAAAGCTCGGACTGCTTGTTTGCTAAAGCGCTACGAGCTGCTAGCGTTGGTCAAGAAACTTAGGGCAGAACCCATTTTTTTCTAAAGAGGCAGTTGTGAAATACGAGTTACTTTCGAATCGAGGTCAGTCACTGTTCTTTCCTTATTTCATAAGGAAAATGACTACCTCACCGTTGGGTTTGTTACAAGAGTGTCGGCTCTGAGATCGTCTGTTATTGACAATAGCTGTATGGTTTGATGACACCAGCAGCTTTGTAGACAAGACCCTCACAAGTTCATTGGTAAATCCTTTGACAAGAGTTTACAAGCTGAGTCACAAAACCAATCATAAGTGATAGGACACTTATGACAGAGGAATTCTTTTGTCACAATTTCTATTTCAATAGCATGTGACTTGGCTTTGCGCGAGACTTTACTTGTGATGGACTTGCAGGGACTTGTGACTAGTTGTAACGGACTCGACCCCAGCTCCAGACACCAGTCCGACCGCTGAGTTTTAACCACAAAGTTCTGGTCAACCCCTTTTACAGGTATACTTGAAACAGTATGGCTACTTCGATGACGACGAGCCGGAGGTTGGCATCCAGCGCTCGGTAGCCAACGTGGAGCGGGCCATCGCCATGATGCAGTACAAAGCCCACATCCCCGTGACCGGCCGACTGAACAAGGCGACGATCGCCATGATGCGGAGGCCACGATGCGGCAACAAGGATTTCAACAGCCCGGCCGACCGGCTGCGAAGGCGAAGGAGGCGCTACTCCTTGTCGGGAAATAAGTGGCCAAAGAAGGATATTACCTACAAGTGAGTCGCTCGTGTTTGATGAATCACCAACCTACTTTGTTAGCAGAATTGTTGACACTGACATGATTCATTTTTCGAGAGGGTCTTCAAGTGGCCATTTTTATGTCAGGCCATTATCCGAAACGCACAGTTATTTACGCAGTCTAAAATGAGGACAGGTCAAGTTGACCCTTGATACCGCGCTTCCGGAACCCTTGGATAGGAAATATAACATGCAAAGATTTTAGAATTTTTTAATATTTTTCGTTCAGTTACTTCTTAAGAAGTCCAACTCCGAAAAAGGGCTTCTGATAATATTTGCTAGTATATGAATTTATAGAAACTGAAAAATTACCTGACCTAGGAGAGAAATATCCCGCCAAAAACTGACCCATCACTTCCGAAAATCTAAAATACATCAAGAACAGGCCAATGCGGCGGTCTCGTACGCAGATGAACGTTTACAGTTTGAAACTTTATGGTAGTCTGTGGAAGCCGAAATAAAAATAGATCAAAATATAATACACACTTTTTTTAATTTATTAGGTAATAAATTTAAAGCAATAATCTACTTTTACGAAAGATTCTAATATTTTGTTTAACCTTTGCTGACAACAACTACGTGAATCTGGAACCCATTGACTGCAGGTAGGTAAATCTTCACAACGTTGTACAATCTCGTTTTCACGTGAGCACGGAAGTGAAAACAAATGTGCGTGAAAAAGGAGACCTATAGGTACGATATCACTGGACGTGAAAAGTCGTTAATGAAATTCGCTTTTTTTTTCAGTCTCCGGGTGACTTTTCCTAAAAATTACTTCAGAAAGACAAAGGTGAAGTTCCAACATGAGTGTTTCATGGGGTGGTTTTCCAACAAACATCGAACGTGATCGGACGGCCCCATGTAAAATCCTCATAGGCGAACCACGCGAGGGTTCCGGAAGCTCACCGCGTGACCTTTTACTTTCAGGCTCTATAAATAAAATCAAAGAAACCATAGCCACCAACATCCCATTCAGACACGGCCTGACATTCAAGATGGCGGACCGCAAAGCATCACGGGGATGCTATGGGGATTTTGTAAGGGCTGTCTATATTGTATTGTTCCTTTCTCGACGCCGGTGAAGTTGCTGCTGCTGTTAAGCTGCTGCTGCTGTTTTCGCCGCAGTCGTTACTGCAGCTGCTGTTGAAGTTGCTGCACGCTGTTTCACTTCTGCTGACTTAACTTCCTTCGGTAGAGCCACCAGCAGATGCTGCCGTTAATTTTACTGTTGCTATTATTTTCCTGTTGGTGCCGTCGTTGTTCTGGCTTATCGGTGTAAGCTGTGTGGTATGTTGCTTTATTCTCTCCCACTGCTGTTTTTGTTCTGTTTTCTACTGGCATTTACCTCATTGATGTCTATCTCCTTTGACTGATACCTCCTCAGGTTCATCAATTACACGCCGGACCTGGGCCAGCGGACCACCCGCTCCGAGGTCACCCGCGCCTTCAACCTATGGAGCCGGGCGGCCAACCTCAACTTCCGCGAGGTGCGCTCGGGTCAGGCCGACATCGACCTCCGCTTCGCCTCCGGCGATCACGGGGACGGCTACGACTTCGACGGGCAGGGAGGCATCCTGGCACACGCCTTCTTCCCCGGCAGAGAGCCCATTAGCGGGGATGCCCACTTTGATGAGAGGGAACGATTCACCTCCAACTCAAATCAAGGTGCGGACCATGGTGTCTAGCGGCGTAGCCAGCTTTTGGTGTGTAGGAGGGGGGATTCAAAAGCGAATGCGGCTTTGGGCTCACTAAAAGTCAAAAGCCTTACCCATGGTGCCGACATCCTTGCTTCTGTTTCATGGTGTTGTTTTCTTGGGGTGTTGGAAGATTATTTGATAACTCTACCGATTACTTTCTTCCTATGAAGTATTCTTTGTAAACAAACAAACAAAAAAAGTCAGGGGGCAAGTTCTGCCCTCCCACTAGATACGCCACTGGGTTGGAATAATCCATTTCTATCTGCAAAACAGAGGTCTGTGAGCTGCGTGAGGATTTGCCGGTTAATATCACCACCCTGTATAGACCTTTTTCCTGTGATGTCACAATCTTGCTGGACAGCGATGTGTTGTGATGGTAATCTACCTATTCAAGATAAACTAGTCAAGCGTGCAGCTTTCGCACGTGCGCTTGCACGTGGTCGAAGCTGCTCGTAGAAATATATGCGATCGGCATGGCCGAGGCGGTCCACACGGGGTGGTATTGTTTACATTGAACGCAATCCAGTCACATGGGTGAAAAAGGTCTATATTATGCAGGTCGTGACTAATTAATGGGCGTTCACTGTCGTTGCCCGGAGTAAAAGAAAATTCAGAGACGTCCATTGGAGCCATTGACAAGTTGAACAAACCATTGCCGTTAGCTAGTTTAAATTAAAATGTTTTTGAACAATAGGGCCAGGTGGGAGCTATCGACTTATTTATTGTCGAATTGGTTTGCAAGGATTTCTTGGTAGGACAAGATGAAAATACTTCAATGCTTAATCTCACATCATACAATACGATGATGCTGTTGAAGTAAATGGAACTTTGTTAAAAAAAATTAACAAAGTGGGTTCCACCCCAAGGGAATCAAACCCATAAAAACCGAATCCTGGAGCCAAAATGGAGATTATATGCCGACGTCCGAAAACATGCATTAATATTGGTCCATTTATTATCCACGATGTGGTATAAGCGAGCTAAATGGTAGTTGATTCCACCGTACTCCGTACTGTTTATAATTTGTAGGTACCAACCTGTTTATGGTCGCTGCTCATGAGCTAGGTCACAGTCTCGGCCTGGGTCACTCGGAGGTCGAGAACTCCATGATGGCTCCGATCTACCAGGGTTACAGGCACGGAATCCAACTCCACAGGGACGACATTCGTGGGATACAGCGACTGTACGGTAAGACGTGACGCTACTTAATACTGCGTGCCCAAACCTTTTGGGGGTTGTGCGTGGCAGCACCCCAGTAATTCAGTAGCTAAACCTGCTGAAATATGAACTTTTCTCTTCGAACACTCAGCTGGTATCGAACCGGCAGTGGAAAATGATCAAGTTTCAGCTGATTTCCTCTGAGCGCCTTGGCTACGGAACCAGCGTGTACTGCTGGTCCATTCCAGACTGCACAGCGCCCTCTTTGGCAGGCCGAGTATTTTTTTACCAAACGAGAACCATGGCTGAGTTCAGACTGCTTGTTTTCGTATGTTCACAAATAGATCGATTTGTTGTTCGCTCACACTTCTTGCCACCGAGGCCATTTATGCGCATGCGTGCATAATTATGAATTATAAGTGAACGTCGATAATTCATTTCCCACGATACAAGAATTATGGGATACACCCTGTACTTTCCCATGGGAAAATGGTTTTATTGCCAGTCTTAAGAGGAAACTAGCCTTCTTGCCTCGTGGAATCTCCCCGTAAACGAAATGTTGCATTTTACGTCCCTGTAGCCTGTGTTCACTCTGGGTTGCGCCATGGTGCTGTTTAAAAAAAATAAATGAAGCTTCCCTGCCCACCATGTGACCGCCTAGGCGCAGGGTTAGGCTGAATTGTTCGGACTGCACACCGAGTAGGGCCTAATTGTTCCGAATCGCCGTTACGTAGAACCATAGACCCCTTTCCTCATCATTCAGGTCTATGGTAGAACTAATTTTATTTAAATAATAATAAGGAGCAACGTTTCCACGTGCGGGTTGATACGAGTGCATAGGATGTGCGAGCTTTGATTACGGAAGTAAGTTACCCACAAGGCTTTGTGACACTGTGCTTCCTTCACAAAATTCTGTAAAGACGCCATTTCAACCCAGTGTACGCTCATGCTAGTTTTGCAATATGGTGCAAGTTGATCGTCTAGTTCTGCAATTTAGCCAGTTCCACTATTCAGATAAAATGGGCTTTAATTTCAGAACGACAAAATTGCTGGGGATTTGATTCATTCTCTATATAGTTGACTTGAAGAGTTTTAGATTACGTTGCAATGCGCGCTTTAAGTGTGCATGCAGCGCACGAATCGTCCTGTGTCGTAGAAATAAGACGTACCGTAAAGATGGCTCGGTTTACAGAACCGGCAAATATTTACGGAACCGGGCAAACTACCGACCACTAAAAAAAGCTCGCTAGAATTCGTCTTTCAAATAACTGCTCAAAATTGTCAAGTAGGATAAGTAGCTGGATAATTTCCAGATGTCTCCGGATGAAAACCTTTCCATGAAAGTAAGCTATCGAGGTGACAGGGACCTTGTACTGTTTCTGTTTGCGGAACCGCTCAATCAGCGTCCCCCAAATTTTCAAGTATATGTGTGTAGTAGAGTCCCCCAATGTGGCGCACTTCAGCGTTCACTTGACTTTCCCCTATACAGTGCTGCCAAACCTCTTTCTCGGAAAAATTTGAAACTCATTTGGCTATAAACTGGTACCATTCCCTTCATGATACTTGGTGTTAAGCCCTTATGGACAGTTTCAGTTCTTGAAATTTCGTTCGAAACCGTCAGCGTCCGGAAATTGGGCTCGAATTCAGCAGAGTGTTCTCTAAAGTGGCGCAGTAGAATCAATCTCAGAAAATCCCAGGTATTGATTAATTCTTGTGAAACATCATTTCTGCCACTCAAATTACCATCCACAAGTTTGTCCGAAAATTCTTTTTCTAGTTTGGGCACATTTTCAAAGAGTTCATTTCGCATGTCAGACAAAAATTGGATAATCAGGCGGAAATAAAAATTTCGTCCAAACTCTGTAGCAGGTACGGTGTAATAGAGATTTAACAATCAGAATATTGGATGTTTGATGAAATTTCGCTACTTGTGCGCCGCGTTGGGGGCCATGCCACGTTCAGGGTACATTAAATGTACAATGCATGCTTCGAAATGCATTCTTTAAATATTTTGAAGTGGAGCATAAGCGCGTGACATCACTGCAGCATATTTCTGAAGAACTCAGTGCGCATGTTGGTATTTGTTTTTTACAAAGGGATAAGATAAACAGTATATTTCTTTTCTCTGCTGCAAGGTCCGAGAAGAGGCCCCCCTCCGACTGATCCTAGGCCTTCACCACCCAGACCAGGCAGCCCTAGCCCGCCGGGTCGGCCGTCCTACCCAACTACACCCACCTGCAATATCCGTGCGAGGGCGGTCATGACCGTCTCGCCAAACGAATTCCTCGCATTCGGGGTAAGTTTCACGTTCTGCAGCTAGTTTGGCGCATGAGGGGACGATTCAAGCTATCCATCAGAAACGCACAGCAATCCTGCCCAATCTTAGAGCGAGTTCCGGTACATAGGTGCAGATTTGGGATTTTCTTTTTGAACGATATTCATTGTGCATAGTAAAAAAATTGCGATTGTTTGCTTCATAATCAGAGATGTATGAAAATCTTTTTTAGATCTGAACAGGACGCCGTGAAAATACTCCAAGAGAAATGCTTTAAATCCCATTTACGAAAAATACGATAATTTTGTTTGTTAAAACCCATAAATAGTTTTCTTGCAAAATGGCCGTCCCATATTAAGTGGAAGACGGGAAAAACAACATCCACAACTGGCAATCGGTTTCCCGATAAAACAACGGCTCATGACGTAAGTTAGCTCCATAGTTACAACATGGTCAATATTTAACCATGGAGATGTGAGCAACCGCGCACGTCAAGTCACCTGGAAGGAATTTCTCATTTATAACATGTTGCCAAGGTTTGACCAGTTGTAAGGCATGACTGACATGCGTCCTTAGAATTCTAAATTCGCGTAATTCGCGTTTCTGTGTTCTTCACTTGTGCCTATATATGTACCGGAATTCAGCCCTTAGTCCGTTCCAGACTGCATGGAGAACCTTTTCGATAGGTTACCGTCAAGAAGCCACCACAGTGTCAAATGACGAACAGCATAATATTTATAAACGTCATTGTTTTCAGGCAAATAGATGTTGGTGTCCGCTTTTTAGGGCAAATCAGGTTTAGACAGGGAGTGTGAATTTTTGTCATATACGTCAGAATGTTATTTACCCCATTCCATTTTGCACATCCAAAAACACCCGGATGTTCACGAACAACGGCGTTGGACCGCGAAACCAGACTGAACTAAAAAGTTTCCTCTTGGGCGGTATCGACTTGATATTCGCTGCTAACTGACTTCTGAATGTCGGTTTGCTAAGTCATCACATCCTGGAACTTAGCACTCGTGGCCATAATAGCGCCTCCTAGAGTTCCACCTAGAGTTTTGCACAGTGTTTCGACCCCCATTTCCCCGTCACTCTATAACAGCAGCATGCCGGTAACTTGATTTCATGCAGAACAATGCGTTTTGGCGTATCGTCTTCGACGGAGGGTCGTACTCGGTGCCTCAGGGATATCCTAAAAAGTTCAGCGATGTCTTCAGGGCCACGTCGAGCAGAGGCCAGCCCCTGACAATAATAGATGCCGCCTACAGGCGGACTGATGGCAGCTTTAGGTTCTTTAGAGGTATGATCGTGTCCGCTGAGAACCTGACCACTTTGAAAGCATATAATAGCATAAAGGGAAGGCGGGAACCCTCGCTTCTCCCCTAAAGAAAAGCACTTCCTTCTGTTATTCTTCCTGTTTACGGGGCATACTAAAGGCAATCACCCATTCTACCTGCCAGTCTTTGCCAGAACTATATTCGAGAAATTCAGCAAAACTCACCGAAATAGATTCAAACATTTTCTTACTTTCTGCTAGATGATTTCCCACAGTATTGAGTATTTTTTCTGGTTACTTAAATAACAGAAATGAAAAGGGCATTCTTTATAAGCCAGTGCTTTTATTTTTCCTCTAAAATTTTGCCCACAACCTCCCTAATTAAAAAGAAATACATAATCACTTGAACCATGCAGGTTAAAAAACGGTTACGAGGACGTTTCAGTCTAACAGGCTATTCACGAGTTTATATATACATCTTTTTTATTGTAGGGACTGAATATTTCGATTTCACGACGGGTGGGACCTTCAAACGGCGGGGGAGACTCGGTCGGCTCTTCCGGCGAGGCAGGTTTCCGACTTACATCGACGCGGCGGTGATCGTACCCAACGCGAACAACCTGGTGTACCTATTCCGTGACACGCAATACTGGCGGCTGAACGACGAAGATGGTCGGGTAGATCCCGGCTACCCGCAGCCCCTCAGCAAGTGGTCGTGGGAGCTGAAACCCGGATTCGACGCTGCCTTCTTTGCTGAGGGTAGGTGGGATTTAAAGTTTCGCAAATGCGTCACTCTGCATGCTAGGAATAGAGACAGAACCCGCCTGGAACGAGACCAAGGAAGGCCCAATTTTTCCAAGTAATGGCAGAACTGTTTTGTGGATAGAGTTGCGACATGAGTGCACCATTAGAGGGTTTGCATGGCTGCCATCTTGTAGGCCAGGGCTTTTGTTCCACCGGGTAGGCACAAAGGAGGTTTCCGTGCGGAATAAAAGAACTGCCCTACAACTTAGAGATGGCTATTTCGCAAAGCCTTAATGGTTGAAAGAGAACAGCGTCAGCCTACATGCATTAAACAATTAGCACACAATAGCTGCATGCTGTACTGCACACATAATGAACAATCAGTCTAGTTGCAGAATATACAGCTCTTGGCAACGGTTGCTGCCTTTGTACGGCATTTCGCTGGTTCACGATCGAGCATGAAATGCATGGCTCTTTTAATCAACCGATTAGGGTTTGCTTCTGCTCAAAGTGGATTTCCAAGCAATGTTTTGGCACAAATACCTGTTTTAAAAATTCAAAAACTCCTATTTCGAAATAAAGGCACCACGAACCAATAGTCACTTACGTATCCATGAATAGCAACAATGGTGATTTCACCATTACAGAGTTTCAAACTTGCATCCATTCGCGGTGCTATGGAATACATGCAGTCCGACGTGCAGTTCGACTTCACAGCGAGTTTATGTGGAAAATTTCGAGTGCAGTGAGGTTCGTCGTAATTTTCAGAACAACATGGAGTCCTGGGCTAGATGCAGCTGGGCTTCGTTAGTCAGTTGGACTCGAAACGCACACCGTAAACGGCACAATGCGAGTTGTGAGCGACATTTTATTTATAATACGGGCGATTCGCAATAAGTGCCTCCAAGACTGTGAGCAATCACATTGCGCGAATCTGTCGGCCCTTTCCAAACGCGCATTGGGTCAACAGATTTCGCGCACTGTGATTGGTCAACGTGTTGCAAACTCTTGGAGGCGCACTATCGTGAATCGCCCGTATTATTCCTGCAAGGCGTCTGCAGCTGTTTTGCAGAAAGGCACGTGTATCACTGGGATAGAGCAGGGGTAGATCTTGAAGGCATGAACGGGTGTTTCGTAATTCTTCTTCTTAGTGATACCAAAAATCTTTCGGGCTTCCTATTCACTTGTACAGATTCAGTTTTCTTTGTGTCTGGGAACGAATATCGACAGTTCCACTGGAATGGCTACCGGCTCGAGCCCGGCTCCTTCCGATTTGACCGGCAATTCTTTGGGTGCGGCCGACTACAACTGGAAAACGAAATGGACAACGGCCAGACTTCCAGCAGGACCGCTCGCAACTGGGCACTGGTGCCCACCATGGTGGCGGTCTCGACAGCAACGTGTCAACTGTTGCTGATGTAATAAAATAACACCACACCCTGAACACTAACACAACGACATTTTACTGTACATAAGACGTGTTTCTAGTTGCCTTAATAACCAAGCAAATATGTGAAGACATGGATTCCGTGCGTGGCTGAGGAGGACGGTGTTTACGCGCCTTTGTAGACATTTCAAGGCCACCTCGCCTGCTTTCGCCCGTCACACACCGCCCCCTTGGGAAGGGCAAATGCATGACATAACTTTTGTCGAGCACTCATTAGACAGAGTTAATAAATAAACAATTACACGGGTCGACAATTCCAGGTGCGCATAATTACCAAGTGCCAACTGAAAATACATGCGTGTCAGGACAGCAACCCACAATGCTTTGCGTGCCCACACCTGTGACGTATTTCTTTCCCCTAATCCGTGAAGCGCAAAATTTGCCCCCTCCTAGCCTTTGAAGGCCGGTTCATACTTCACGCGGAAGCGAAAACGGACGCAAATTTGTGACGTCAGATCAAATAATGGCACTGCAAATTCTTAAAAGTTGAACGCATTTTAACTCGCCGGAGCAAAATTTCGCTGCAAATCTTTCGTGACGTCACATCCGCTTCGCTTTCGCAATTTGCCAGAAGTATGAACCGGCCTTTAGGCCTCGGTTGTGGAGGACGAGCGAACACGCCGGCGACGCGGGCTGTGATTCGTCATTAGGCCTACTGGTATGCCAGTATTGCTCGAGGCCAGATAGTTTCCAAATATCCCGACACGATCGGTACTTTTGGTCATTTTTATAATTTAGAATGTACATACGAGGAGTCAATTTCTGTGTTCTATTTTACAGTGCTTTGATGTCCGGTTGGGCCTAATTCACCTGGCTCACCTTGCAGACATCCCAAAATGGTTTTCATATCAAACGGCGATGAATTTCTCAATGACGCTTCGCGAAAGCTTTTAAAAAGTTGATTTTTAAAAAAGAAGGCTTTGGTGACGACTGTGAAAAGCAAACCACAAATCAGTAAGTTCGTATTGGCTACAAAACGCGCGCATGCGCACTTCTGCTTGACAACGAAATTTGGAGAAGCCACCAATCTCCATTGCTGGCGTGGACATGCGTCGATAGCTATGTCGCCTACTGTGCGTATTGTATTAAACACTCACCATGCCCACTCATTGCAATTTACTGGGACATTAGTAATAGCTACTGATGAAAGTCGAGTGACCAACCGGCTCAAAAGGTGACGAGCAAGTATATCCAGGACCCTTTTCCAATACTCGACTTGGGCTCCGTCTCGGGCGTCGTTCCCAAAACCAATCCCCGATTGTGGGCCTGAAGCGTTTAAACTAAATTAAATTACTGTAATTTCTGGCTCTCTTGCATCTTATTTGATGTTTTGTGGCACTATTAAACTAATTACTGCGTTTACAGCTTCAACGTCAGCTAGTTAAAAAAAAAACAGTTGAAGCCTGAGACGGAGCCGAAGTTGAGTATTGGAAAACGGCCCAGGTTATCGGTGCACACTATGTGCGGTACCTCTCATCCCATGGCCATGATAAAAATCGTTATCCCGGCTGTAGTCCCGCACATGCGATGTAGGAAATCGAAGTTAATGAGGCGGGGCGGCTTGACAACTGCATGTGAAAATTTTGTTATTTTGGTACTCAAGCAAGGTGTCGTCGACGCAACGTATATACACAATTTGCTCACCCATAGAGCTTCATGAGATTGTACCTTTGGCTTAAGGATTCACCTTGCGGCTTAAAGGAAGTAATATGCCGGTCACGTGGCCTCCTATCCTCGCCAGTAACAAGAACTAGTGGGAAAACCCACCTTCTTTCCAGCGTGCCTATTCTGTAGGTGGTTTTCGCTATTTATTTGCTTCTTCTGTGAAATACCTGTGCTGGATCACAATTATATTGTATAAACAGAAATACGAAGTGAGCAAAAATACGTGTACTACAGCAAATCTATACTTAACTAAAGAATTCAACTTGCACGTATTTTAAAATAGACCTACATGCACCTATACATTGATTTACCTGCGACTCGCTCATGCAACAAAGAGTATGTAAAACAATAATTGCACTGTTACTTAATTTTATAAACAAACACGGTTCGCGCCAGCATGCAGGATACGAGAGACGTCGATTTGTCATGGGCTGAATTTGAGCTTTCCTTCACTGCGTCAGTGCGACCCCTAAAATTCAAATTCCACCGATAAATGGACCTGTTCGGGATTACTAGAGTATGCCACTAAATCGTCATTTTCCTTCTTTTTTGTCTTATTTTAACCCACAAAGAACGGGGTTTATAGATCGAAAAAGAACCTTTTTATACACGGTATTAAGAAGCTTTCTTTGGACAAGAGTATACGAGCAGAGGCCGACACTCATCAACTATGCATAGTCTATAAACATTTTTCCATCTCGAGAAGAATTTCTGAATTTTTGTTCATTATTTGACTATGCGCCTTACATTTATTTGTAAATACACGTTTTATATAAGTTGAGTATTCAGTTCATCACTACAAACACCATGAAATCAATATGACTGGTCAAATCAGAAATTATTTCTCGATTTTTAAAGATTTGGAAAGAAATTATCCAGCTTGCAAACTGTTAAAAATTAAAGAACGACAAAAAGTTGTTCGATGTAATCAATGAGTATTACCTAATTGTAGTTATGTTTCATGTAAATGTAAGAAAAGAGGCATCTATTTACAAACTCATATTGACTTGGATGTCACGGTTATAATATTGTTAATAGTGATTATATATATATGAATGTACTGTACAGCCAAAGAAAGACGGTTGTACATAGCCATGTTCTGAAAGAATGGTCGTCTCTTTTGCACTGCAGTTGAAATTCATATTCGTCACTGGCTTGTAAACGGATTTAAAAATCACGTTTTCTTCCTCCCAATAAGCCGGGCATTATTCGTGGATAATGAAATTGGCTTCTTCCCTTTGCTTGTTCCTTTTGACGGTTACGTTTTTGCTGAATTCGCACGTAAATAAAGTTTTTTGTGCGAAGAAAAAAGACACGAGTAGTTTTCATGTCATTCTGCGACTGTCCTTCATTTTCATATCATGCCTACATTACATACTACATTATTTTGTAGAAGCTGGACTCCTTGAATTACATGAGCATCTAGATATGTGATTAGAGACTGAACCGAGTGATGAGCTAACTTTGGAAGTCGTGGGATAAAAAAAGAAGGAAGCCAATGGAAAAAATGAAGCTAAAACCTTAAACCGAACAGAGATTTAGAAGATACTACGCCAGTGTCTAAACGGCGGCGCGATCTCGACTTCAACGCCATCTGCCCCACTGACACGGATCATTAAATTTCCATTTTTTTAAAATGGAAAAACATTTCTTCTTAGTACTAGTTTTTGTAGTAACTTTTTTGGGGAAATACAGCTCAACTTGTTTTTATACAAATTACTATTTGTTATAAAAAATGCAAACACGTCGTTGAAACTTCTTTTTATTAAAACCGACAAGAAGGAGGTAGTTTCCCATTCGAAGAAAGTCCTTCATCAATACTCTTTTGAGGGCGCTATTTTGCTTTTGTCACACAAGGTACTCCTCGTCAAAAGAACGTATGAAAAAATACAAGGAAATTGTCCTTCAAAATTAGCTACGAACAAAGTTTTGAAGAAATATTAGCCCTGTCTATTGTTCAAACAGTTTATTCAACACGATAAACAAGTAAAAGATAGAACTACATGTTACTCAAAGCAAATGTAAAAATGTGTGATATACATATGTTCACAGAGCTATACGGAGACACTGCTGTTCTGCCTTGGATGCGTCACGGTTTGGCTCATGAATATGGAAATATATTTATCAGCAGAAAAACCAACATGTTGAAGTTTCTCCCTGTTAATGCTTCAAAGGAGGTATTTAAGCAAAGAAAGTGTCATTTCATGTCTCCCTATATTATTTAAAGTAACAATTAAAATAAATAATACTTTTATTGAGAAATATTTGTGATTAGATTTAAAACCACGCCTTGCAAAAAACCTTGTTGATGCCCACAGTAAGTTCAATTAAAGTAATTCTAAATGACTTATGAGTTTGGCAATATGACGATTGCAACATTTAGCCAAACACAGGTTGGCATGACCACGCGTCAGCAACGTTACAAGAAGAAAGGGTAGCAGGTATGTATTCTGATGTAGCGCCCTCTTTGACATTTTCAGTCACCCTTTGATCTCAGCCTTGCCGCTGTTCCGAGACGTTTTATTTTTACACGTGAGTTAAGAGCCCGTGATTTCAGAACTTGTATTTAGTCAGTTTTTTTCCTAGAAAATGTCAAACGTCCGTCGACGAATGATGACGAATCACTCCAGAAATTATCGTGAACAATAACAGCATCTCAACGAGTCCCGATACGCGGTGTCTCCTTGCACTTTGAGAATGATGCCGTCGGCGGTAATTTCAGCAAAGGGGGGGGCATGACCTATGGCTGCTCCGTCAATGACATCATCGACAGAATTCAAGTTACTGGTGATCCTTTCACTTTGAAAAAAGACCTCCTAACAAATTCTCTGATGAGGGTTTAAAACGGGTTAATTTCAGTACAGTCTTCCAGGACTGGTTCAACAGTCTCCCCCCCTTCCCCCAACAAACAACAAACAAACACCCCGACACTTGAACAAAACCCCGAAACTCGCCAACTGCTTTCAGAAATTCACACGTGGTACTGCAGCTAAAAAGTTGGAATGGTTCCATTTCAGAAAAGTTCTTTTAAAAGCGTGCCTATGATTTCGGTGAAAATGATTTGTCAGTCATATCTATTTCAGCCTGAGTGTCTCCGAAATATGTATTCATAATAATAATATAGTGTGCTTCCTGTGTTTTGCGAATGATGCGCAAAGCCATGAGAAGATGAATTTCTCCCATGATGACTGCCACCTCACGTGCGCTATATACTGGCGGGACATCTGTCCGCCATCCATCGGCGTTGTCAGCATTCATTTCCGGGAGGGAAATTTCCGAGGTAAACAAAACACTCATCAACGAGGAAATGGGTAACAATTACTCGAAGGAGGGATCAGTTGCCAGGTTTGCTAAAGCAAATTGGAGATTTTAGTTTCTTTTTATCTCTCTTTTAAAATTTCTTTCGCGTTTTTTTTCTCTCTTTAATGTTTCATTCTTTGAACACCCCATGCTCACCGCGACGGCCTGTGCCGCCACTTTTTGCCGCCACTTGACTGGTGAACAGTGTATACGAAACGGAATCTGAGGAATTTAGAGAATTTAAAAGCAATTTGCAAACCCTTTTTGTCGCAGGTCGACAGTATTTATGAAAACAATTCGCTGAATATTGACAATTAATTAATTCGTTCTGTTTTGGGGTATCTGTTCCTGCGCAAATTGTGTATAAAGTGTGGAGTTCGGCTTGACAGGGTTCAGACGACGAGAGTTTAATTTCTTAGACGCAGTTCGTGCAACTTTATTCTCTTGTGCAATATACGAAGACAACTTGGCATCCGTTTGGTTTAAGTGTTTTGACAAGCATGTACTTTGTTCGAACATTTAAAAGTATCCTCGCTTTTGAAATTGGAGGACAACAGAGGGAGTTGTTTCGGTGGCGTCAATCAGGGAACAAAACCGCTCATTTTATAGGGATTTTCTGTTTGAATAACTGTAATACAAAATTTGCTCTTTAAGAACTTTTCCATGAAAGGGGTTATGGGTAGATATTTATTTATTTATTACTTTACACATACCTTGATAAGGAGCAGCAAGTCTTCTTCTTTTTCATTAAGTATTATTTCAGCCTCCTGTTTGTCAATTACCCTTTAGACTTTCGTAGCATTTGATATACATTTTACCTTATATTTTGTATTTATTGTGTCCTTATTTATTGTGTCTTTATCATTAATTGTTTATTCATTCAATTTATTCAATTTCCAGTTCAAGTGAGTTCATTATCTTTATTCATTTCCGATAATTCTTTTTCTTTTATATTTAAATATTTATAAGTTCTAATTGGCTTCAAATACTTTTATATGTTAATATTTTTATTTATATTTTATTTACTTTGTACACAACTTGATGAGGAGTCTTGATGAGGTCTTTGGGAACAGCGATTGTTATCGCTTTTGCCTCTCCCAAGCCCATCTTCTATGTGATGAACAAGAAATGGCATAAATAAATAATGATAATAATAATATCTTTTCAAACAACAATGAATCAGCAAATGAAAGCAGAAAATATCACGATTAATAACAAAAATGTGTCTATGTACAGATCAATGCAACAAGGAGTTTTTCTCCCTGGAATGACATCTCAGTTTGCTTGTGAATATGGAAATTCACATTTGCATGAAAAGGCATCCAAATGCCTTTCCAAACATGAAAATAGAAGTTGAAAATAAGGTTACTTTGAACACAAACATGCATTAAATATGCCTTCACTGTAAAAACCAACGCCTACGCCTTGCGTTTATTGTAGACATTTAGCCGATTAAAATTAAACACCTTTACTTAAATAAGCGTGTTTGGGTGTTCGGAATGTGTTACTTCCCTATAAACGCGTTTTTGTGTTTAGTTATTAACACGTAGGCCTACCGGTACAAACATGTCTTGTTTGTGTCTATTTCATTAACACATCAACACGTCTTTGTTTAAAAAATAAACGAATCAGCGTGTTTGAGTATTGGATTGTTAACACTACGACGCGTTCACAAAGTGTTACAAGGAAGGTGTGAAAACATTAACATTTGTTTTTACAGTGTTACGCGACCCCTTTAAACACCCGGATGTGCCTAATCGTTTGTGCAATCCTGTGATTCTACCTCCATGGTGTAATGCACCCCTCCAAAGCATTCGTTACATGCAGGCCGACCATAAATTTACCTAATTTAGTGCTACTGGAGATCGACTGTCATTTCATGAGTGGAAATCATGTATCACCTTGAAACAAAAAGTCAGTGACTGACACCATTTTTCCTGGACACGTAAGTGACGTCATCAGAAAAATGTGACCTTGTAAACAAGTCTGATGTCAGCGGCCGTAAACATTTATCAGTCCAGAGCACCACGCCAGGTACTCCGCGGAGGTGTCCTTAGTTTCCATAGCATAGCAACTGTCAACATTTTGTCGTACATGTATTCTCATAAGCTCTGGAAGGATTATTGCTGCAGGAAGTGAAATTACGAACAAGTCATCGACACGTGCGACGGGTGCAGCGCCGAAAGATTTCACTGCGAGACCCATGGGGCAAGGATTCCTTTTATGCAGTTGTTTATCTGCCTCCTCGGGGATCTATTTTTACTGGAAAATTAGTCATACCGCCCTTCTCTTGAAGTAGATATACGAAGAGAGTTTTGTCAAGGAAAAAACTGTTACATTTTGCAAGATTCACTGGTGCAAATATACTACCAGAAGTCACAACTTAAATTTTACAAACTATTACGTTGCTGGACCGATATACCCCAATAAATCAAGCAATGTGGCATTGTTTGGGGGCTGCTGTTAACACAGCTATTGTCATTTTTCGGTAACTGTTGGGAATGCATAACGATGGTACTGAAAGGACACCAGGGAGTAACTTGTCGCAAGCTCTTGTTCTCGAATTCCCCTTTCCGCTCATGCATGTAATCCTTTTCTATATAAATTGATCACAAAACGTACGTCTGGTCTTCTTTCGGGGTAGAAAGAAGGGTTCTGTCTTGTGCCCCTAACACTCTCCCTCCGGCCTGAAGGAAATATGTTTTCCCGAAGAATCCCTGATTGTTATATTTAGCAAAGATTTCCCAAATCTCCGTAATAAGTGATACAAAACTCTGGGCGATCCAGAGATTCCTCCACATCCAGAGTAACGACTGGTCATAAAAGCAGTCACCGTCCGAAGAGATTTTCAGGCCCTTTCCCTTGAGTTACTACATTCCCAAAATAGAAACTGATGTCACAGAATGAGGAGACTTCCGGGGGGGGGAATAAATATAATTGTGGGCGTGTCCCAACTTTGACTTCTAATAACCTACCTACTAGTCCTATTCCCCACCTTCCTCCCCAAGGATCAAACCTTAATGCTTCCGTTCATGCTTGGACAACGTGTCACTATCAGACATAAAAAATCGTCGACACTGACCGTTTTGTCTCCAAGGAAATAATGTGACCATAAGTGGTCCCGTGGGTAAACTCACATGTGTTTCGTACAGCCTTCGGTACACCACTGTCTCGGAAGTACAGCCATGTTAACCGCCGAAGTATGCACTCCTCTAGGCAAATACGACATACATGCACATGTGCAGTACATGCACATGCCTTCGCACACCGCTCGCAATGAGAAAGTCGGTCGTTTAACCGAGGTGAAACAATATACAGTATATCTGTCGTTGGAATGCCGAAATACGGGCACTGCTTTCCCTACGTGCGCGCGCCTCAAACCTCAGCAATTTGCCCGGAATGCCTGACCCCGGTTGCTATTTCTGTCGCGGACAGCCGGCCAACCAGCAGTCAGCCAAGACGAGCCTGACATCCGCCAATGGGAAGGTGGCATGTTTAAGTGCCGATAACATTTACATCTTGGTGTGAGACCACAAGACCATCAAAAAATCGGGAAACGCCCGCATGGCTATATGCTTTGAAAGACCAACAGACAACAGCTGAAGCGACCAAAAAAGGATTGTCCAGAATTTTGCACACAAAAAACGTGAATTTCAGAACGCCATCAACAAAAGCCTTAATGAATTATTCATGCTTTGGAATAGTCATAGGAAATACATGTAATATTTGGAGAGCATCAAGAAGGAACATTAATCTGTTATCTCTTCTAGTTGTAGAAATGAAAATTAAGGACTGAATTCTGATCCGTGCAAAACTATCATGTAGTCTCAATCGATGCCTCACAAGACAGTGATTTTTGTTCTATTTTCATTTTTAAAAACAATTAAGTTATTTTAATCACATCTTAATCAAACATCGAAGGTTGAAATGAATCAGACAGTCATATAAAACACTCTCGCAACAACTAGGCTCTTTTTCTTAAAAAGCTTTGTGTTTTATTTGAAAAAAGTAACATTTGATTAATAATATTTGGAAAATGATATGATTGTCGCAGTATTACATATAAAAACTTAATGCGTATAGTTACAAACATCTTTGGCTGCCATGAGTAAAATAGCTGGCATGGTTAATACATCAAATTCGCCTTATTTACAGACATCGTAAATATTTACACAATCCCACAAAAATAGACTCACTTTAATGTTCCAGTGCCAATGAACCGAGGGTGCCAGTATGGATAACACCGCTGACCATGGTAACGCCCCCCCCGGTTATTTACAGTGGCCCCCTTTGATGGCGGTAAGCGATGTGATCGCCATTCAAGGGGACCATCGGGACTTGCACAGAGAAACCCCAGAGATGATGACTTTGGATGTTAGAATAATGGGCAGAGATTGGAAACCTCAAAACATCATCCACTAAGGTAATCATCATTGGTTGGTCTTCTATGCTCATTCGACAGTCCTCTTTGTTTCCGGGTTTCCGATTCCCGGACGTTGACTGGCGCCCCTACCAACAGTCTCATTTAACACCGAAGGGAACAGTCGAACAACAGGTTACTAGTCTAATAGTTTCACGTCGAAAACAAACACCGTGAATACATGCATATAACCGATACTCTCTTCCATTTCGTGCTCATGCCTAATATAGAACATAAACTATGAATACGTCCATTTCCCTTCTTCCAGACCATGCCGAGTGCAACAACGCACGGAGCAAAAGTGAATTCTGGCCTTCGGAGTTTGAAAATTCCAATAAATGCTTAGTGTATTTAAATCACATTTGGCCAAGACTAGAACAAGCTTGGCGAGGCCATGATATTTGGTAACCTGTTTCAGGTAACCAGAAATCTGTAAGACAATTTTAAGCGTCTTTTGAATGATGGATACGGGTTGAACTACTGTGGTTCAGTCATACAGGAGCAAGGATCTTTTTGATCATAATTGGAGCAGAGTCTGCGGCATGGTTGCATCGCTGGTTCTCAATAGCTTCCTAAACGTACAGAAGGTACCATTAACATACAAAAAAATGGCAGAGACCATGAAAAGCAGCAAGAAATGCAGCCGACGGGGACAACAATGTGAGTGATGATAGGACTTGTCAAGCAGAAATGTGTACAGTTGGTACTCGGTAATGGTTCCACGGAATGGAAGTGAAGGGAGCATTGAAAAAAACGTGAAGAGTAACCACTCAATGGTCTGGCCCAAAAAGTTGGCACTCGAACTTGCTCTTGTCCGTGCTTTTCTGCACTTAATACCTTAAAGTTTTCCCCTCAGGGTTGAGAGGCATTAACTAATAACTAACATTCGTTTACTGCATTAATGCATCGCGAACAACCATACAATACAAGATGGCAGTTATCTCAATAAGATGCTCGCTGCTTTTACGATGGAAGACTTTTAAAACAGGGAACGAGCCGAGTTACAGTGTGCAAGTGTATTTTTATATGTACATTATTTCTAACAACCGATCACAGGCTGTGTCAGTGGCGGCTTCTGCCTCTCTTTTTCCTTCCGTAGAGAGCGTGCAAGCCGGCCATGTCATTCCTGGACAGCCCAAACTCCGGGTCGTGGGGCCTCATGAACGGGTGCATGACGGACTCTGGGTGGGGCGAGTGGCTCAGCCCGAGGGTGTGACCCAGAAGATGAACCAACAGCTGGAACAGGTTAATTCCTGTGTACAGACCAAGAGAAAACATGGCAACCCGTGTAATTAACGTTTGGAATCCTGACACCCATGTTAATTTAATGTTTTGAGTTCCTCGTAATGCACGCATTTTGCATTGCGCAAATCTTATCTTTCCTGCCCACGCGTACTCATCGATACATGACGTCAGAGGCTACCATCAGTCGGGCAGCATATCAATATTTCGGCCCCTTGCTCAGAAGACGGTCGACAAAATTAAGAAAAGGAAAACGCGGTCCCAAAAAGTTGTCTTCAGAACAATATGATGTAGCTTATAACGCCAGTAATAAAGCACTTAGGATTGCTGGTTGGTCATATTCGTCACTTGACGGGCGTTTGTTTTTGACAAAGCCTTATTTTAAACAGATAACCTTGGCTCTTATGTACTGGTACCTTCCGACCAATGCTTGAGCAACAAATGAAAAAAAATAATGCCTACCATCCGTCTCATCCCCGAGGGTGTATTTCTCTGACGCGTCCAGGTGAATATCCCCGGGCAGGAGGGGGTCTGTTGGCGGGAATGCGTGGGCCACCTCCCCCATGGGTTGCCAGAACGGCCGCCGGTCCCCGTGGTTCATGGTGGGCATAAACCTGACATTGATATCGGCGTGGCCCGACCGGACCTCGGTGAACGTCAGCGGGGACCTGCTGCTCCACAAGCGACAGGCTTGCTTCAGGACACGGCGGACAGCCTTCTTGGGCAGTCCTTTCTGGGTCCAAAATATTCTGAAAGGAAATCCCCAGAAAGTTAGAAGATCAGAAGTTATTGTCCCACGTAGATAATCCTTTTTTCCAAGAACGCCACAGGAAGTAAATAGCCAGCAAGCAGTGGGGCTTCTGATAACTTTTTTCCTGATCTCTTGGCGAAATGATTCTACTTACGCCGCCAAAAGCTCAAAGCGATGCCAAGTCTCCAACAAAATGCACCTACTAGGTCAATTACATGATTCTTCCCTCCAAAGGGGTTATCACCGCCAACTCTCACCTGATCGTCAGCTCAGTCTTGTTCCACTTGTCCCCTTCCCGCCCATACCGGAACTCGTCCCGCATCGCCTCTCCTGCGAACTCCGGGTCCCGGCAGCCGCAGCGGGGCTGGGCCATCTTGTCCAGGGTGGCCGCGTTGATCACCCCGGTCTGGTTCAGGTAGTTGAAAAGCTGGAATTTACGGATGCCGGACCTTATCGCAGCCACGTCCAGGCCGGTGCCAGCCTTGGCCGGGTCCACATAAATGTAGTTGTACTTTTTCAGGTACTCCTGTATTAAAAGTGGATATAACACGTCAACGAACAAGTCAACCCTTCGTTCTCTTGTTGTTCGCTATTGCACAGCGACAATAGGGGCTTTGCGTGATAGCCATCTTGCTAGGCAGTTCCACATGGCAACCTCCATTGGGCGTACCCTGTGGAACCAAAGCACTGGCATATACAACATAGCAGCCATTCAAACTAAGGAGGCTAAGATGTGATAAGGGCGGAGTCGACTCGAAACACTTGTTTTATTTGCGTGGCCTTTATAATTAATGCTTGCTCTCCACATGTATTCATATGAGTTCGATATTCATACATGTACATGTCTTATTTTAACGATATTTTTCAGTTGTTTCTTTGTACATGTAATATTGCAGAAACTGTGGCTCGAAGTTGATCTCCAGGACAAGTGGTTTTAACGAAGGTTTCCGATTCTCAACCTATGTGAACAAAGCTTGAGTAAGACTACAGCCATAAATGTACATGTTCATGCATATGCCTATCACGCTGGAAAATTCGCGTTTTCAGATGCCATGAGCGTTAAGGCTCAGGCGAAAGCGAATGCAGCGCGAATTTGTCAGGGAAACGGCACACGTTACAGAAGAACGTGAATTGTTGGCGTTATGAACTTTCACGTGAAGTACATGTATGAACCGGGTTTTAGAATGGGGTAACTGAAGCTAGTGAGGTAGAAGTGCTATATTTGGCGACTGCTGGTTAGATCAACAGCCCGGGGAACTGTGTTTCCTCAGCATTTAGGATGCTTGGACTCATGGCTTCTGCAAAAAAAGAAGCTTTGTAAACGATATTTCAATTCCGAGTCACCGTGGTAGAAATTCGCGGCGACGTGGAGGCCTTTTCGCTTGAATCACGGACCGTGTGGGTCCGTCGTAAAAATCGCCATGATTCGCGTCCTTGTGCACATGGTTGACCATGACGTCACCACCTCGCATCAGCTTCTGATCCGTGTCGTTAACCTTACTGCATGTACTGCTACGGGTTGTTTTAGATTGAATTGGGACGTTTATACATTAAAGAATCCCTTGAAAATCGGACTGTGTTTTGCCCGATATGCATACGAACTACCAATATCCTGGCTACGGTATGAAACAATGTGAGAGCTTATAGGATAGCTCTTTTGATACAAACCTTCAAAATGCTCCTGTTTCGGTTAACCTTATTTTCAACTTCTGTTCCACTATTTGAAAGGGTATTTTACTACCTTTTTGGTCCTTATGCAAATGATGTCCCAATATTCATGAGCAAATGTGTGATGTCATCCCAGGAAGAATACCTTTAAATGTTACGATGGTTTGTACACAAAACAGTTCTACGTTTTTGCAGATTTTGCTGGAATGACTTTTCTCTTCTTTGATGATTTATTGTTGTTTATGTGCATAGCAATAAGTGAGCACTAATCCCTTTCTCAGAAATGTTTTCAGTAAGTAAATTCCCGGTTCACGACCCTAGTAGAAAAATGTATCCAATGAACTATGCCTTCCCAAGATGACATCATAGTAACAGCGCCCTCGATTATCCAGGAAAGCATGGTTAATTTTCAAGTGTTAAAAAAAGTGCACTTTTGAATGCATTTAACCAAATGGGAGTGTAAAAGAGTTTCCAGACATTGAAACAAGTACAAAGACGTACACAAATTGTGTCTCAGGAAAGTTTATTGATGCTACACTTTATGGAAGCAAATGTACATGTACGGCTAACGGTCGCAGCCACTTGCCGTGGACACGGATGCTACGGGCCCATGTATGTATTGGTCACAGCCAAGTGTAACCTTGTCTTCGTCTTCAAGAAGAACGGAAAAATAACCGTAGCATGCCAGGCATGTCTGTCAACTTCGCGTTTTGTTATTTTGGCGCACCTGCCAAAATAATTAAGTCTTGATTCCACTCGCATAGCCTTTGACCTTTTCCCTATTTACCCAAGACACTCAGTAAAATCATAGAGAAAGGACACAGAAAAAATGGCACGTCCTATGACTGTTGGCATTTTATCCCATTTGACGGAATAGACACCAATGACGAACTTATGAGAGTGTGTCCTTCCATATTTCTTGAATACGTGTACCTTTTTTGTTTGTTGACTGTGTAGAATCTCGAAGTGTTGTCATGGTGGTCAAAAATCATCTTGAGAAATATTTTTAGCACAACTCCAAACCCGTTGTTTTTCTCTGGATACACCATTCACCTTCGCTTACTATACAAGGTTTTTTTTTTTCAAGTGGCTCCCTACGGTCTCGACAGACACGAAATCTCGACCTGAGGACGAGGACCTGCAAAAGTACGAGGTCGCGTTAAGAACCCTAGCGCGACCTGAAACATGTGCACATGTGATCGATGGAGAACAAAAGGTCAAGGTTTAAGCAGATTTGCAGGTTGTGACTTTCAGAAGGCTCTGATCGGAATGCGGGCCTCGATACTGCGTCAGGAATCCTATATCCTGCGTGATGGAAAGGGCACTTGCAACAAACCTCTGTTTTCTACATTGTTAGTCAAATCGATTTATCAAGCATATTCTTTGTGAGAAACTTTGTCAAACAACTACATTGTTTTGATTCATATCCAACCGTTGCAAACGGCATAGGCATACATATACATGTATCAGGATGCAAACAGAATCCAACTTCAATTTTGACAGAATAATCTATATCGATCCAATTTCCCAAAGGGCATAGGTTTAGGATCCATTTCCCGGGGAGACTCCGGAATTGCCAGACGGAAATTCAAGTCACTACTCGACCTAACGAACGACATGGTGTACTGCACGTTGTCCGATTCATCCTCCAAACTTTACGGTGAACAACAGCAAAGAGAAACGACCGGCTCAATCTATCCATGCATGTCAATCACAGAAAAAACTTCTAGAGCCGTGCCAAATTAGCAAACAAAAGCTCGTTCAGCTGTTCTTCATAAGTAAAGCCCGGCTTTGAAGGCGAATGACGTCGTACTTGTGCGTCCTCTTCCAACTTTCTTTATCACAATCGATGACTTCTGTCTTCTAAAGCATACCCACTTTCGAAAACTGTACATACCCCCAGGTCCCGCCTCATAATGTTAAATCACGGTTGTGAATGGGCTTCGTCTCTCCATGAATGGGGAAAGCCAGTAATTGGTAGAAGACCTCCCACGGTCTCAATTTTGGGTCTAATTATCGTCAGGTTGCCGCCAGCATTGCAAGTCATGAGCCGTGAATATAAAACGTACTTCAGGGAACAAATCACTATACACGACGCGTACATACATGCACTTTACGTGTCATCCGCAACACAACCACAGTTTTCAAGGAGGGTTGGGGGCAGAGGCGTTCCGGTTCAGACAGAGACACTTAACGTCAACAAAAACTCTTTTGACGTGATAATGATGTTGTGCAAGTGTTTTTTCCTGATAAGGTTCTGCTGCTAATGTGCATGAATCCAAAGAGCTTCCAGTAAAGTATGCAATGCACCAAACGTGGTGGCCTCTTTTGAACTCGAAGGCCGCCCTTCACGTCTTCAAAGACATTGATTTTTAGTTCAAAAGACATGGATGTTTTAAATGCTTCCCTAACTCATGAAAGTTTTTGTTTGCTTGTTTATACATTCTTTGAACGCGTGCGCAGAATTCAGTTTGAATTATTATTATTTTATTAATTTTATTATTAATTATTAATTTTACAGTAATCCGCATTCCGACTTCGACTTTATCATTGACAGAGAATGATACAAACGTCCGGAATCGGCACGATAAACCCTTACTCTCAAAACTGTCGTCATGCAATGTCATGAGTCATATTTCCTGAAGAATTTGGAATTAAGTTAAGGATCCAACTTCCATTTGAATCCGCCACAAGCTTAGCCTACGTATACACGTGCCGCGAATCGACCGAGGCGGAAGTGTGATTTTTTTATGGGCACAATGCTCCTGAAGGTGTGCTTTGGTGGCCACCGTATATCACGGCAATGCCCCGCCTCACCCGCCCGGAGAATGTTTTTGCAAGCGGGGTCAGAGCCAGGTCAAGTCTTTGGGGAGGTACTCTGATTAGTGACGCATAGCCGAGAAGTTTGAGAGGTGCTACCGGAATGTCTTTCGCTTCTCTTCTTCTCCGTGGATATTTTCTTTTTCCCTTGTTTGGAGTTGCCGGAAAGAACGTAGGATCACACTCGGATCCATGCTTGGATTAGTTTCAATTATAGCCGTGTACGTTGCACCGCGACGGAAAACCCTATGTGTCTCGATTACATGCATGTTTATAAACCTCCATGGGTACGCCAAGTGGGAGTTTTCCCATTTTACCTTATACAGAAAAAACCGAGAGTGCAACTTTGACGTGTGGTTGAAAAATGTTGGGTCATGACTTTTTTGCCGGAGACCTGGTTTTAAATTTCTGCGATGGTCTGTTACTTTTTGGGCACAATTTGCAAAACAAACCGGGCAGTCTGTACTTGGACCTTGTTCTGGCCATTGACCAAGACCTTGCTTTGATCAACGAGATTAGGGATCGTTGAGCGACGGTCGCTTTCCCTGTGTGTGTGGTCACTGCTCAAGTAGGGCTTTGTGAACTGATTCAGTCAGTATTTAAGCCTGGAAATGTAAAGATAATCATCTCTGGGTTCATTGTTCAAGAATTCTAGCAGGAGAGACACGGTCAAGTCATTCATTCTGAAAACGTGTACTGTAATTGACCACTTGACGGGAATGCCGAACTGTATCAGCGAGAAAATCCTTTATACCTTTATCGTTACTTTACAGAATAGTTGATCGGCGTACATATGACGTTTCCTTAGTTAGCAGAATATTAAAACAATGACTTGAATGATACGAAGATCCCTAGAATGAGCAGACTGAGAGATCCTTACAACTTCTGACCCACAAGCCATCCAGTTTACTTTTGTTGTGTAGTTTGCATCACTTTAATTGACCCATATGACTGTATAGCTTGTAGCCTCTTTATACCGTGCTTGTACTAATTCGGCAAAGAGCCCTTCACGATTTGCAACAGTGACGTGCTGTGTGCTGCGTCCCTGCCGAATTTCTCCTTGAACCGAGGCGGCAGCGGCAACATGACACGGCAAAGTTCCCTGTACCTCCGTATGTCGGTGCGGCTCACCAGGCATGCCGGGGACATGAACAGCGCTGATTCACAGAGCCCGCGGAATGTAGGTCGTAGACTCGTAAGGGAAAGTGCTTTCTCATTTAGCGCTTGTGAAAGCTGCCCACATACTTCAAGGGCAACTTTGATCTTTGCTCTATCGTGGTTTCATTCCCAACATTCGAAATTCGCAACATGCTTTCGTCTGCTGAAATAATAGCTCATGGCAAATGAGTTATGTGTGTTGCGGCAAGCAACACACATAACTCTTCTTCTCAATATAAGACTAATCATAGAGTAAGGAACGGAATAAATAATAGAGACAACTCACCGCGCCCTCCGACAGTCCCGGTTCTATGGCCAGACTCCGCGCCCGTCCTGCAACCATGACCAATAAGAACGCCGACCAAAGCATGTCCATCTTCACTCTCACGAATTGCCAAGGAAACAGTCAAAAGACTATCGAAACTTCCGTCCTCAGATTGTTCAAATCGACAATATCTTCGGGAAAAGTTACCAAAGCGTGGTATTCGTTGTGGAGTTGTCCTCTATGCTGTGATGTGTGTGTGATCCTCGATGACTGTGCGCTGAGTGCAGTGTTTCGGCTGCGCTGAATTGTACGCAGTCAGTTGTCAACTGCGTCCTGATTCGTCCGCAGTTCGTTAGCCACTGGCAACTTTCAAGACCTCGCAAAGTTCTATGGTCTAGTTCATCACTTACGAAAGATGTCGAAAAGGTCCACGCGGGTGCAGCACCTGTGATAGTCTTTTTACAAAACGTCAGTGCTTGATGGCGTACACCGCGCATAGTGCGCCCCCTAACGACTCATAATTAGACTGTGCGCCAGTAAAACTAGTTGTGCGAGGGCACTCTTCCACAGAAATAAAATAACCATCCATCACTGACGTCTTGGGCCAAGACTACACCTAAGAAGGAGTCCCTCCAAAGCGTGAAATCGGTGGTGCAATCGGCCTTTCTCTCGTGTCACCCGTGGGGTCGAATCTCTGGGGTGGGCTGCGTTGGCATTTCCACGAAACCGCAAAAACAAAAAACTTACAAAATTCATTAAAGTAGGAGGAGTCAACCTCGGTACGCTGTCCCTTCGCTGGTATTCCGCTTCGGGATTCGCTGCCGTTTAACAGCAGCGATACAGTGATTCGTTAAACTGCCAAATCGAGTTTTGTGGCACATATTTTCCGCAGGTGTTCGGAACTTGGGAGAAGTCCAAATATTAAATACTGCGGTTCGGGCTTTTCAGATCAGATCATCCATCCGGAAGAAAAGATCTTATTTCTCATCACTAGGAAAAAGGCAAATGCTTAAAAAAGAGGAAAATCCTCCTCCATAAATTTTCTTGCTATCAGTTTTCAACTTATCTTAATTATTATTTGATAATTCTATTTAGAATATTGATGAATTAGCAACTGAACATTGATCGATTGTAGAGACTGAGCACGTAATCTTTAGCATCTAAATATTTTCAAGCACTGTTTACCCAAACCTATGCATGGGTGAGTTCGCATCAATAATACACTCTGTCTCCTGCCAATCTTCATCTTTCTTTGAACTGTAAGGCAGTCTCTTTTTGTAAATCCGCCTTTAAAAGGCTCCAGTGACAAACGCCTATTTGGCTCATGAAGGAATTTATTAGAGCCTATAAACACACGGTTCATTAATTTTTTTTTCTTCAACGAATACTTTCTTCCTTCTTGTCGAAGATTTACAACTTCTGCTGTTATGCATTTAGCAGGAAATTCCGTTTCGTAGGTTTCCCAGTAGTGTCCGTAACTTCAGGCAGAGCTACGTTTTGGGAGACTACTTGGGCCTTAGTTACGCGATAATTGGGGGGAAAATCCCGGACTCCGCCAGGTATGCCAGTTTATTAAAGATAATGAGAAGACCATGGATCTGGAGGGTGCGGTGTCCCAATTCAAGGAAAATTCTCCGCCAGGCTGAGGCGCTTAAAAATTACCCCTACAGATTCTTTCGATAAGAGGGGTCTGTGTGGGCCGAGAAATTGTGGGATTGTGTAAGTATGGCCCAGGATCATCTCTGTTGGTGCAGGGGCACCCATCTGGGGGCAAAGCAGACAAAAATGTGATTGAAAATTTATCAGAGTTGCCTGCAAAAGGGGAGGAATGTTATTAATTTGAAAAATGGCTGCTGAGAAAACTTGGGCACATTCACTTTTTGGGGGGAGGGGTGAGTTTGTTTTGGGCGGATAATTAACAAATTAATTTGGTAACCTACTAAAACTTGAAAATCTGAAGAAATCCGAAGGACCGAAAAACAATTTTTTTTTTTGAGGCCTCAGAGACTTCACTGTTGCCTGCCACGGGGTTCCAAACTTTGTTGATTTTACACTGTTTTCAACGGAGCTTGAATTAGTTCAGTGCACCCTGGGGTGCAGAGGCCAGTGGCCATTAAACCCGTGACCATGACGTCACGATGGTCCAAAAACTAAAACACAACAGTGTTCTCACCTTACTGCTTGCTCTGTAAAAGGGTGCAGCCATCGAGTCGCATCATGATTGGCTGACGCGTTGCAAACTCATGGAGGCGCACTCTTTTGAATCGCCCGTATTCAGTTGGACTGGCCTGCAACTAAAAGAGAGCTGCGCCTTAATTGAAGACCAAACGTGTTTGTCATGGAGCCAAGCGAAAACAATTAATTTAATTAGTGCAGGCCCCCGGCAAATTGAGAACCAACGTCATGGTACTATCATTACTAATTATTGGAGCCTCTAATGGACCCTGAAACTCAAGCCCGAGTCCGAGAAAAAAAAAACACTTTACTGTCAGTATACGTGCGCATGGGTAACTAACAATGTTACAAGAACAGAGCCTGAAATTATGCTCAAAGGCTAAGTTTGCAAGGTTTTGCGGTTTCTCCTGGCACTGGGAAAATCACGACATATCGACTGAGTTTCATTAAGGAAATCGGTTCTAATAATGCTTGCATGACAGAGTGGTGTGTATGCAAGGAAGCTCGGTATTCATGTCCACGAATACAAGAGAAGGTCAAGCTATAACCTTCCCAGGAATCGATTCAACCCTGCCCCTTGCAATTTTTACTCTATCTTGTTATGTGCGTCTAATTTTAATTAGGCCCAGTATGAAACCTCGCATAATCGGATCCTTGGGAGCGTAGATAATCCCACAAACGCCGCCAGCCGACGACAAATATTGACCTGCAGCTTTGATTAGTTACCCCAGGGTCGGGCCTGACGAGTTGCAGACGACGAACGAGAGACGGACAGGACCGTGTTGATTTGGCCATGATTTAACGAGGTTATTTTGTAAACTTACACGCAGTGTTCCAGCTGTCAGGCCTATATACCCCCTCTCCATAGATGACCCTCTTTGTACCCATCAAGGGTGCCAGTGGTGACATCATTATAATCATAGAGCTTTCGTTTCCCGGAGAACCGAGCCCGTGCTAGTCTTGGCCTAAGACTGGATTTGTATTGCTTTGGCCCCTTACGCGAACGAACATTGTCCCGTGCGAGGACATGCGCCGAACAGCAAAGTCAGATAGCAGTAGAGGGCGCCTGAAATCCACCGCAGTCAAGGGTGCAGGATTTATGTCTGTGCGTGCAGGGCATTATTGAAATAAATAGGCTGAAAACTGCTTGCGCCAGCCAAATCCCAATAGTTTACTATAATGACCTGCACCCTTAATTCGTCTCTTATGGAATGTCGCTCTCTACTTTTACTATTATTCGGCTTTGCTATTACACGTACATGTCGGCGGGGCGTCTTGTGCCAACTCGATACTACTAGTCCTGTGCTCGAGCGCTGATGCTGCGTTCATTATCGTCCTTTGGACTCTGTCAATGCAATGTTGTTTCTCAGGTCTGTAAATCAGTCTATAGGCTTAGTTCGGGCGGCTTGTTCTTGAATGTTGACGAACAGCTCGATTTGTTTCGTGGGTTGACCGCTCAAACTCTGGGAACGTACAATCGGTTATGGGGGTTGTTAGTGGCAAGCAAAATGCAACATGGCGACGTCCCTATAGACCTTTTTCGACAATTAATGTTTGGATGACTGGGCTGAATTCTTGAATTCTTTTCTATTTAAAAAGAAGCATTCATTTCTGTGTTATTAATGGTAATTTTGCAAAACTCAAACATTCGCTCTTATAAGAGTGGAAAAGCACTCATGTCGCTGTCAAAATAAAATACATTGCACAGTGGCCTTTCACTCTACTCGGAGCGAATAAGCAACATGCCAGGGGGCTCTCTTGTTGGCCACATTCGCATTTTTCTCCTTGAGATCAAACATGTGATTGTAGTGGTATGTTGCACTGAAATCACAAACTTAGGTCTACATTTCTTCCCAAACTCCGCATTAATTTTATACCCATAGAAATCGGCGTTTCAACGGTCCCGTGTCACCCTAAGGTCCACTTGTTAGTATTTGAAATGATTGTTGAAGTTCGTTCATTTTTTCGTTCGTTGTTGGGGAGAGTAGACATTGAGTTGGTGGTTCGAAAAGCAAGTTGATATATGGTGCAGTACGGGTTTTGATATCCGTTGGAATGGTTACGATTTGTGAATAATAAGTTGTATGCTATCTAGTATGTTGTATGCTATGCTACGGCTATCTAAGCAATCTCATTATCATGCCCCTAAAAGTACGGTGAAGTGGTTGCACTTCTTAAAAACTGGTCTAACGCAGTAGAAGAATAGAAGGGGAATAAAACTACCCCAATATCCCCGAAAGTTAAAACTCACAGTGGTTAAAAAGGCAAACCGAGGAAGAACTAAAAAGTACATAAATTGAGTAAATCGTGATCTTCATTTTTCTGTGAGTGAAAATTAGCACATCCTGCCTGGCCTCCTAGTGCATGAAGTTCAAGAGGACGCTAGTTCCGCCTACTTTCACCACAACACCACAGACATATAAACACAGGTTTGTATTATGTCTGTGACTTTCACAGACGTGTTTTAATCTATCTGCTCCGAGCGGAACAAAAGAGGGCGTGTTTTTTTGGTACTCACCGCAAAGGTGCGCCATGAGGCGCGCAAGTACATGCGCGTTTGACGCAGATCGCGGTGAGTACGCGTAACTAATAGAGTACCGAAGTGAATACATCACGCGCACAATTAGTGTGTAAAAGGCATTAGCGCGAGAACCACCGCGTGAACCAACACGCGCGCATACTCCATTCGTTTGCACTGCACTTTCTGGTTCACAGTGACGTCACACTTCCGGTACTCTATATATTCTGGCATGTATCCGTTTCGTAAGTGACTTCGTCACAAAGACAGACGCACCATGATTTGCAGGCTCTCACTGGACGATCGCTGAAGTTGTGCGTTAACTTCCAGTTCCATGGTTCCACGTAAACGGCAATCAATGCATGTAACTCTATGTGCAGTGCGCGTGTACAGTGAGCACGGTTTAAAGTGAAGTGACGTCACACTTACGAACCAGATGGTCTTTGCGTGCACGCAGCTGAAAGCGTGCAAGAACCCGCTTGTAACCACCTGTCTTTCTTTTGGCAATTGGGGGTGCACTTCAGCTCGGGGCGGATAGACTACCGAAGTGTGATGTCATTTTGAACCAGGAAATCTAGTGCAAATGTTGGTTCACGCGCTGGTTCTCGCGCTAATGCCTTTTACACGCATAATTGTGCGCGTGACATATTCACTTCGGCCTATCAGGTTCGGTTTAAACCACGCTCATGGACTGCACATAGAGTTAAATGGGCCGTTTTCCAATACTCGACTTTGGCTCCGATTCAGGCTTCAATTGTTGTTTTACTTCCTGACTGAGGTTGTAAGCGCAATAGTAGGCCTGATAGTGCCACAAAACATCCAGGAAGGTGCAAAAGAGCCAAACATTACAGTACTTCTATTTAAGTTAAACGCTTCAGGCCCTCAATCGGGGATTGGTTTCCTAAACAAAGCTTGAGACGGAGAAGAAGTTGAGTATTGGAAAACGGCCATGGTTAACGGTTAACGAGCACCACCAGCGACTGTCCAATGAGAGCCTGCAAATCGTGCCGCGTTTGCCTTTGTGACGAAGTCACTTACGAACCGGATAGTGCGCCTCCAAGAGTTTGCAACGCGTTGGCCAATCACAACGTGCGATATCTGTCGAGCCTTTCCAAATGCGCATTGGGTCGACAGATTTCGAGCATTGTGATTGGCCAACGCGTTGCAAAGTCTTGGCCATTGGAAGCGCGCTTTTGTGAAACGCCCGTATTCAAGTTTGCCTCTTTACTTCAGGGGTTAGCGTCGCAGTTCTTTCCTCGCTTTGCACCAATAAGGCCCGGGTTCGAGTTCCGCCGTGGCCCTGGCTTCAAGTGCATTTGGTTTCCAGTCCATACTCGCTCTCGCAGGTTTTCTCCGGGCACTCCGGTTTCCTCCAGCCTCTAAAACTGGACCTTCTTCCTAACTCCGTAATGTGATGCTGGTTAATAAGGTGTATGAATAAACGTACAGGTATTGGCGCAAATAGCCCCTGTTGCTGACAGCGCCATTAAAACCGAACGACAACAACATTTACTTCAGGGTCCAGTCCACTAATTCAAGCCCCATTGAAAACCGTTCAGGGCCCAAT